AACCTTAATTCGGCGTTGCCTAGATCTCCGCGAGCGAAAGAGAGACTCCTCTCTCTCGTGAAATGATGCACGCAGGCAGCAGCAAATAAAAAGAAGAAAAATATATATAAGTAGTCGGTCGGTAGTGCCCGCCGGCGGCGATGGAGCAAGAAAAAAAAGCGCCGCGAGTCGAACGAACACACGAACAGTTTGATTTTTATTCAGACAAGAAGTGGGGCCGCGCCTTTTCACTCGCCATTGACTTGATTTTCAATTATAATTAGATCTTCCCCGGCCCTTTTCTTTCTCTCTCTTTCCCTGTGTTCGTCTCTCTCCTGTTTACCATGCGACGCACACAATCGGACGCATTATCATAAACGCTATATTATAAATTTCTTTCTTCTGTTTCCCCTCAAGTTCGACAACACACGCGGTCCTTTTTCGCCGCCGCACTCGCGGTGACTAATTTTCGCAGTCACGATCTCGCATTAATTCACCGGTTCACTTTTCTCCTTTGTCTCGGTTCGAAGGTATAAATTTTTTTAAATGACCACCAGAGGCCAATTTTCATTATATCAGTGAGCGTTATAGTGTCTACTACTTCTTTGGTTAAATAATTTTTAACAAAAAACATTGTATATTGTATGAGAAAATCTAAAATCTATTACAAATTTAAGGACGATAATCAGTTAGAAAAATTGCGATTTAAAATCCTTCAAATGTTTTCTCTCTCAATATACATTTTTTTTTAAATTATATTTTCTAACTTTTTCACCATTTAAACGCAATTTTAAAACGTAAAATTTTCTTCTCAGTCTTTTAAATTTTAGCCAGTGGTTGTAGACAATTTATAAAAAAGAAGCCTTTAATCTTGTCCTCATTTAAATATACATATTAATACATCATATTAATGCAAGTTTTAGCTTTTTCTTTCTTAATCGCTTTGTATATAATTAAATTTTTTATTTATAGCGGAAAGGAAAGCTTTCAAATGTAAAAGCCGAGCTTTAAAGGAAATGATCAATTCGCGGGAGAGATATTTATCAAACTGAATGGATTTCGCGCCGACGGTCTTCAGTATATTTTGCCTGGAGCGCCTCTTTTCTCTCTCTCTCTCTCTCTCTGCGCTCGTCGTCACCACCCGACGCGCAAAATAAAATTTTATACGCCCGCGGAATATTCTTCCGTGCCACTTGTTGAATGCGTTTGCGAGCATATTTCGGAAGCAAATTTAAAACAAGTAGTCATACATATACATTACTCAAGGCACTCTTTCTGTTTGACTCATAATATTTTCCCCACAATCAAAAGGCAGGTGTTCAATGCTGCACGATATTGAGCAATTGCTCCTCTCTCGTTGCGCTGTGACTGCTTCACGGCCGGCGTAACGCGAAACAATAAAATATGAAATAAAAATGCTCGGTGGAAATCAAACTTTGCGCTCTATTTTCCTGAAGTTGTCGTTGTGCGTCTTCACTGCTCGCTCGGTCAGTTGCACATTTTTGCAGTTTCCCATTTACTTGTACATGTTTTGTAATAACAGAGAGAGGAAGCGTCCAAAGTGGGGTATGAAATAAATATATATCGCCTCTGCACAAAGGATCTGGTGTAATTGTTGTTTTGTTCGGTTGTATACTATGGGTTACACACTAATTTATTAACTGGAACTTTGCTGCCCACAACCTGCAGCCGCAGGTTAAAATCATGTGTTTTGAAAATGGTTCACGTGCATGGGATCTCACATCCTGGCAGCGGCAAACGCGGAAAATTGTAAAATGGGGACAGCAATAATTAACAAAAAAGCGCGTGGGGCTTTAATGGTTGACAAAATGATTTTTATCTGCAATTTATTGCCCTTTAAACACAATTGTGTTGGATTTAGATAAATCTCTTGAGTTTAAGAGCAACAAAATACTAAATTTTAAATCAATTATATCCAGATCCTTTAACGAAAATTCCAATTTTCAATTTAATTGTACCTCTTTTTTAGAGCTTATTTTGATTCGATTCTATACATTCTGAAAAATTAATCGGACTTATAATTTTAAAGTATTTCTTTTCGGTCTTTTCGGATAAATTTGATGTAAAATTTTAAAGCATGAACTTATGAAGTTAAGAACAAAAATAATTATTGAGGTTTTTCTCTGAATTCTGAAAGCAATTCGGTTTGTATTTATAATTTATATATATTTAAAAGTCGAGCCTGATTACTGAGCGGCGCATTAGTTTATTACCCTTCTCACAATTTAATCTTAATTTGTTTTCGTGGGTCCGACGAGCGATTGCCGTGAATGTCTCCAGGGAGGCAGTAAAATGATAATACTTAATGGCCGCGCGGTTCAAATCACCGCCGCGTAATTTGCCTCCGCTCGCTACGCAAGCAGGAAAAGTTTTGGCGGGTTGTATACACCATGTGCGAGAGAGCACAGGAATCGGCGCACGAATTTACACACACACACAAGTAGCCTAGAGAGCTTTGGTGTGTGTGCAGTTGGCGATATGATAAAACTGGCTCGGCCGCTTGATTGGTGGTGCTGGCAGACAAAAACCTGTTGTCGGAGAGCCAAAGCAAAGCGAGTTTGCGAACCGCGAGCGAGCGAAAGAGCCGAGTGAGTCATTCGCTGCCTCGCGTGACGTCACTGGTGTACATATGTACTATTACATTATATTTTATTTATTAAAGCCGTCCATTCACCGACGGCACTTGCTCATAATTATACATTGGCCACAATAGATTTTATTGTTTTCCTCTGCTGGACCACCGGCACACGACGGCTATATATAGGCAAGGATCAATTTTTTTATATATAAATACGGAGCACTACTTCAAAGTCGGAGAGTGATTAATTGTGAAGATTAGAGTTGCATCATGCCGCCAAAGCTGTAATATATCAGCTGTCCGCCGCAATGAGATATCATCGGAACGGATTTTAATGATTTTTGCAGACTTAAAATATGGAGCGAAAGTAATGCTAGGATGGAGTGCAATTGAATTTGCGAAATCAGTTTTTGCGTCTAGTCTAAGTTGGAGGGTTCAATGAGTCTTTTATTTAAACTATTGCATATTAAGCAACTTGAATATTACAAAAAATCTTGCCGATAACATTTTTTTACAAATTTTGCTGTCCATTTGATGTTATTTATTATCTCTTTTTTTATTAAATCTCCCTATAATCTCAAAAGGTCAAGCGCTTCTTTACTTTTCCCATATAAAATTTCAATAAGTTTTTTCATAACCCATTTTGGTCTCTAATGAAGTGGATCGTGGCGGGCGACGGTGCTGCAGACGGAACTAATCGAGCTCGGAGCAGCGGCGCGAGGAAATTGAGCCGCCGTCGGTCGTTGGTAGCACGGTGTCTCATCACGCACCGTCCGACCACCATTAAGCATCTCGTCGCGCCGACAGGGCTGACGCGAGCGCCGATTAATCGTGTGCCGTCCGAAAAATCGCCACGCACGATTTCGTATAACTGGACGAAGCGAGAGAGGCAGAAGTGCATTTTGCGCGCAGGGCTATTCCGAGACTCGCAGACGGAGCACGCCTCGCAATTTGCTGCACTCAAAACATGTGGCCACGTGCTCCTTAAGTACACCTCATTTTTCCCTTCATCTACCCAAATTATACAAGCCTGCAGGCAGAACTTCCGAGAAAATTAAAATATAAAATCATTCTGTTTCATTACTGCAAGTAGGATAATACTTTAGTCCAGGCCTTACAAATATATTCTATATAAATAATTAAAGAACTAAAATCATTTTTGCATTAATCCAGTTTGAAGTCTGGCGAGTTTTATTGTGACAAGCCGGAGTTGTTGAAAAATTAATCGAATGAACAATTTGATGGTTAATGAAAGTTGACTGGAACCATGCTCATGTATTGTGCCGTGAGATGAGTGGGCAATATTAATTAGTGTGAGCTGCTGCTGGGCGATTACCCAAAAGATTTATTCAACGGCCGGGAGAAGAGGAGCAAATTACGCCGTCAAACGGCCTCTAAAATTACCCGTCAGGTTAAAAGTGTCGTGTAATTATCACTATAGCGTGGTTTCTTCCAGCTTTGTTCACTTTTCCCACGCTACTCATTAAAGCACTAAATTAATTTTCAAGACAAGTTTGATTTTTAAAAAAAAAATCAAATTGTTTTCTCTGCGCTGACGCATTATGACGAAACCTGTTGTGATTAGTAATTCCAAAAGTTTCCTCCTATCTCTGCGGTTCCTTGTTTTCGCAGAATTCAGAAACCGCCGCAGATTTTCCAATTTCTCTTTCAAACAACAAAGCGAGACGAGAGATGCGTTTTGAGAGTGTCGAGGAAGTTGTTTGTAGAATTGTTGCGGCGAGTTTATAGAAGACGCAGTGCGCGTGTTTACCTAGAGTGGCATGATTCATACATAATTGCCGCGGATTTATAAATAAATGTATATATGTACACACGAGCAACACCTCGCTCGGGGTCATCGGGTCTTTGTTTCCAGCCAAACACAAACGATGGGGAGGGGGCTGGAATGAAATCATCAGGTGCATGTGCTTGCTATGCTCACTGGTAATCAATGTTTGAAAAATTGTTCATATCAAAATCTGAATTAAATTTATTAAAGAATTGAATTATTTGATTTAAGAAAAAATAATTATGATTTTTCCTCTTTTGTTTTTAATAATTTTCTATTTTTTCTGTCATAATTTATTTGACAGACTTTCCTTAAATATTGAGGTTAACATAAAATTCATAAAATTTCCTCGACTTTTTTATATTTCGTAATTCAAGGGAGGGAAGGAAAGAAGAGGTCGTCCGAAAGGGTCTCGCCCCTCCCTGCTCTCTGTCGTTTGTGTGTCTTTTCCTGCATCTTGGTGCACGATCAGGAGGAAAATAATACAAACAAATCACAAAAGGAGAAGAGAAGCGGTTTTAATTTACAAAAGAAAGAGAAACAACTCCCCTGGCCGCCGCGACTCCTCGCTCAAGCAACAAGCTCTTTCTTTCTTGTGCATGTTCTTTTCCTGAGCCAAGCAGCGTTCAAGTGATGGGTCGACTTAGCGACGCCCACGTGACCTTGTACCTGCGATCACCAGTGGTGCGCGCGCGTTGTTGCCAAACCGCACCTCAGGTGTGACCTGAGCCGAGGAGAGACGCTCTGGGCCTTTTCGAACCCACTCTCCGCGCGCATCCCCATGGGAAAAAAGCACGCGGCGGCGATACACCCTGACTAATAATAAGAAAGAAACTGACTGACTGACTAATTTATCATGCATGCGTGTTGGTGCCGCGAGATGCGAGCGCTGGACTTGTTCTTTTCCTCCTCTTCGCACGGTGGTTCGCCGCTTCTGTAATTGCAAACGCCGCCCGCAGAGGAAACGCGCTCTGCAAATATTGAAATTACGAATCCCAGACACGCTGAACCATATTATTGAATCGAGGCCAATTTTATCTCGTCGCCGCGTGCACACCAGTCCGTTTCCAACCGCAGTCAATTCTAAATCATAAATAATAATTCTATCAAAAATGGGTAGTGGCAAACCCGAATCAGTTGATTCGATTAATAAAAGGCACAGCAGTAATAAAGCGTTTGATTTATTAAATTATTAAAGCGTCTTCTTGTGTGTTCCAGGAGAGTTTAGGTGCTAACCGGCAAAATTTCGTCACCGTGGACACCAGCAAGCTCCGGACCCGCAGCCGACACAAATGGCTCGGGTTCGGAGTCGAAATTGGACGTGGGCGACCTCAGCGATGTGAGTACTATTTCGGATGATTTTTAAACTAGATTATTTTTATGAGCATGTTTAACAAGAACTTGGAAATAAATTAAATTTTATCTTTTTAAAATAGACAACCACAGAGAGAAATTTTTAGATTTTTTTATACTGCGTATGGAAGACAAAGAAAGTTGGCAATAATTCATTTCAAATTTGTTCAGGATGACAAGGACATGTCCGCATCGGACGCAGAGGGTGTTTGGAGCCCGGACATTGAACAAAGCTTCCAAGAAGCTTTGGCCATCTACCCACCTTGCGGCCGCCGCAAAATCATTCTCTCTGATGAGGGGAAGATGTATGGTGAGTAATCTCAAATTTTAAATATATAGTAAATGAATTAATTTCATGCAAGAAATTAAACAATTTACAAAGCTAAATTTTCAATTTACTGTTTATTTTGTGGCACATTAAATTTTCAACTAAAATTTAGAAAAATATTTATTACCGTGATCAAAATTTAATATAAGTTGGCTTAACTAGAATTAAATAAGTAAAAATAAAAATTTATTAATTTTAAATATTTAAAAAATCTTTTTATGTACACAAAGTTTGTATGGACATTTTTTAGTAAAGCTTTATTTTTCCTTAAACATTTAAGTGGAATTGATAAAAGTCATATACTTTAGAGCTAAAAATATTACGAAGTGATAATGACGATCTGGCCCGTCAACTTTTGACGGTGCAAATCTGAGTGATAATGTGGCGCATCTGATTATCGTGTCAATCGCGAACGCATGCAGTCACCGAGTGGGCGGGTTTCCCATTGATAATTTTATATCAAACGGTGGCGTACCTCGGCGTGGCGCAAATAACATCTCTCTAGGCTAGCTGGGGCTAACCTGTGCGCTGGAGCTGACAACACACGCGCGAGCAGGGCGGAATAATTGAACGGCCTTTGCTACAGACAAAGCCCCTGCCTGCCTGGCTGCCTGCCTGTAAAGTCGACTTCTGGTTCGTTCGGCCTGCCTGCTCGGCTGCCTGCTATCAAAGGAAACAATGCAAAGAATGTGCAATTAGCGAGGGGTGGGGTGAGAGCGAGAGGGAGCAAAGAGCGAGCGGGATACTCTGAAGCAACCCCTTGATATACACATCATGTGCGGGGGTTGATGCACTCACCCGCTCGCCCGCCCGCTTTCCCGCCAGCAGCCAATCTAAATGCCGAAAAATATTAAAGGAAACATGCCACCTTGTATTAACTCTCGCAAATTCGCCCTCATTCCTGCCGTCGGGGATGCTTTTTCGTTTGGCGGCAACCTTGGCATTCTTTGCGCGTTTCGCCCTCCAAATTGACTGCTGTGTTGCAGCTTTTTCCTGGTCTATGGATGGATTGCAAATAATGCGAATTTCCTCCTCCTTTAATAAATTGAAACAAATTCTAACGGAATTTCATTGATTTCATTTCTGCTAAAGAAACAAAAAAGTTGTCGTCTCAATGGGGTGTGGAATAATGAAGACTGCAAACTTACAATTAATTAAGCTTAAAAACTTTTCAAAAAAAGGTAAGAGAAATTGAAATTTTTCTACGATTTAAATTGATTAGCTACAAAATGCTCCAAAACATAGAACGTTGTAATTACATTTTATTTAAATTTATGGCAAATCTAGTTCCGGAAGTTATAAATTTTCAAGATCTACAATTTTCACTATTTTTAAGAAACAGAAATTCAACTTCTGCTCTGGAGATCGTTTTTATGGTGTTTAGAAATATGAAGGAATCATTACACTCTTTATTTTTAACTTAGTTTTAAGTTAAATTGTATTCAGCTTATAAATTTGTTATTAAAATTGGATAATCTATTTGCATTGCGACCACAAATATTTTATAGTACACTCGGGAAAACGTTTTGGAGAGCGTGATTTTATTATTGTATGGCCACAGCCTCGGAAGCAGCGGCCTTTGCCTCGATTCTGAAAACGCGAGCCTCATTTTTGGGAAATTCACAATATTTTGGAAATATTCATGGCCTCCCGCTAGCTGCTTTCAAAGCAGAGCCACGCAGCTGCACATCAGCATTAATCATTGTCAGCAGGAAGCGTTTTATCAATTTTGAAAAATCAAAAATTCTCTGCGCCGCACACCAACATTGCCCGAATGTTTCTCTCCAGGCGCATAACAAGCTGACCGGAAAATTGCTGAAACAAACTGCGGCCCATCGTTTTTCCAGCGCGTGGGAATCACAAGGACAATAAACAACTCACGTCACACGCTTTTAGCTTTTAATTATGCCGGATGCGGCAAATGGGCAAAACAAAAATTCATAAAAAAAAACTGTACACTTAACATTTTTTTGAAAGAAAAAAAGCAATTGTCTAATCGAATGTTTTATTTGATTGCAGGCCGAAACGAGTTGATAGCTCGTTACATCAAGTTACGCACAGGAAAGACACGCACAAGGAAGCAAGTCAGCTCGCACATCCAAGTTCTGGCGAGGCGCAAACTTCGAGAAATTCAAGCCAAACTCAAGGTAGTAGAGTTTCCATGATAAAGCACTTTGAGACAATTCGCGTATCTATAGTATTATAATTATAATGACGAAAGGGAGAGAGAGAAACTTCTCCCTAAGTTGGTTTTGCTCTCAAAGAGTTGGTTGGTTGGTCGGTTGGCAATTTCAGGTGGCTCGACAGGTATAAAAATTCCTGCTTTCCCTCAAGAATGAAACCGGCAAGAAGAAGAATGCAAGGAGATTTTCTTCTTGATATGAATAAGAATTTCAATTCTTGCATTCCTGAAAATTTCACAAACATGCTGTTGGAAAGCCGCGCGCATTAATTTGAGCAAAGTAAATTGCGTCGCGTACACCAGCGTAAAATCTCAAAGTAAATTCCTGGAATCCTAGTTGCGAGTATAATAAACTGGTTTGGAAGAAAAACTATGCAGCAAGCTCCTCGACAATTTAACACAAAGACGCTGATCGAGCTGTTTTTTACTTGCGTCAAGCGAGACCTTGTTTAACTTTTAATTTTAAATCACCTTTCTAAAGAATTGCTGGTTTTTTACTCTGGAGGATTTTCAGAATTTTTATCCTGTCCTAAACTTTTCAAATTTACTGCACGTTCGGAGGAGTATTATTTTTAAAAGTGCACGTTGTCTGTGTTAAACGTTATTGGTGGTAGCTAGGTGGGTTTTTATTTCAGTCATTAATATCTGTTATAGTTTTGGCAGCCTGGTCTTCAACCCGGTACCTCGCAAGAGTGAGTATTTCAAAAATCAAACCAAGTTGCAAATTTTGACAAAAAAATTTCCCCAAGCAGTGTTAAACCTTTCGCCCAGTCTGTGTATGGCGTTGGTGGACCTGGAAAATCGGCATCTGGCGTCTCGGACATTGGTCTGCTGTCCTCCTCCGGACAAGCGCCGCCACCGCCACCTTGGGAAGGCCGAGCCATCGCCACTCAGAAACTGCGCCTTGTCGAGTTTTCTGCATTTATGGAGCAGCAACAAGATCAGGACACAGTAATTCTCAATTAAATAAAAATAATACCAAGTTTTTAATTTAAAATTTCCAGTATCACAAACACTTATTCGTCCACATTGGAGGTACTGTTACGTACGCAGACCCCCTGCTTGAAGCAGTGGACGTCCGACAAATCTATGACAAATTCCCCGAGAAGAAGGGTGGCCTGAAGGAGCTTTATGACAAGGGACCACAGAACGCCTTTTTCCTCGTCAAGTTCTGGGCGGACTTGAACTCGAACATTCAAGATGAGGCGGCAGCCTTTTACGGAGTTGCTAGCCAGTGAGTTGGAAAATTTCAAAATAACTAAAAAAATTTCATATCCCAAAGAGCCCCAGCAAGGGAATTTAACCTTTTGCTATCAAACTTAAAACACTTAAAATGTTCGGTTTCTAAAATTTTAATATATAACTAACGTTTTGGAATGATTTTTGTTGCAGATATGAAAGCAATGAGAACATGACAATAGCTTGCTCCACCAAGGTATGCTCTTTTGGCAAACAGGTGGTGGAGAAGGTCGAGAAGGAGTACGCCAGATTCGAGAATGGCCGCTTTATGTACCGCATCCCGAGATCTCCTATGTGTGAATACATGATCAACTTCATCCACAAGCTCAAACATCTGCCAGAAAAGTACATGATGAACAGTGTACTCGAGAACTTCACCATCCTCCAGGTACGTCAATTTTTTTCTAATTTGAGTAAAAATTGAATTTTGTTTTGATATTTGCAGGTTGTCACAAACTACGACACCCAAGAGACCTTACTGTGTATAGCCTACGTATTTGAGGTTTCAACCTCTGAGCACGGAGCCCAGCACCACATTTACAGGTTGGTTAAGGATTAACCGGCCTGTACACCAGCCAGCCACTACAGTGCCTAGTGACTGCCCCCAACCTCAGCATGCCGCAAAAATATGAATAGTTATTGAATGATTATTACTTGATCTCTCGCTAAGTCAAATATATAAATATCTTCAGGGCAAAACAAAATTATGAAGCCAACCTTGGCAGCTTGAAAACAAAAGTAATAATGTATCGTTTGGCCAATTCGTTGTGCCTCTGCAGATGGAAACATGGATTTTTGTACTTTTTAAGAAGCAAGCAAAGGTTTTACACTTGAGAAATTTTTGGTTTTTCCGAAACCCTACAAAACGTTTAGTTAATGTGCTCGTCTTTTTGTCTTTTGCCACTCGATTGTGGAAATCCCTCAACTTGCTCGTTGGAAGTACGCATTTGTTGTGATGATTGATGGAAAGACGATTAAATTGTACATTTTGGCCATATCTTGATTGCCATATCAACTTGTACTTAATGTGAAATATTTATGTACGGATTCTTCTTTTGTGTTTTTTCTCTGGTGGGAAAATTATCCTGTGAGCAACCTTTTCTTTCAAACTTGCAAAAATGACTAGTACTCTGCAGTTAATACCCCTGCAATGAATTTGTCTAACTTTGCGCTAGTATTCTTTTCTGTGGAAAGATTAGGAGAGCATTTCCTGACAACAGAGACAATTGGAGAAAATGATTTGTCTCTAAACAAAAGTATATATTGCTTGATTTTTTTAGAAAAAGAAAAATGCAGTCTTAGCACTTGTTCAGAATTCTGCTGCTTGTATGAGAAAATCAGCGCTCTGAGCCCAAAAGTTTCCCTCTAATCGTATTCTTGTGAATGATCTCAATCTGGCTTGTGTTCAGCTTTGCGAGTCATTAAAATTTTTGCGTCGGTAGATAGAAAATTTAAGTTGAACCATGGGCGTGGAGCCTTTTGTTAATTTTAAAACTGCCAACTCTCATCGGATCTTTTGCAATTTGTTCCTTTTTTTATTTAGAAAAATGAGAATTCGGGATTTTCGGGTCGAGTGTGCCGGCAGCAGAATTCACGTCGATGGAAGTGCCTTTTTGGATTTACTGAAAATGAATGAAACATGACTGATTCATATCTGTTTTGCTTTAAAAAGTGTCATGAAATGAAAAAATGAAATAGTTTATAGGTTCATAATTTGTCCCACACGAATTCCTGTTCTCTCTACTTCTCTCTCTCTTTCATCTGTGCAACAGGTTAGACTCTCCTTCCCATTAGACTGTAAATATTGCATAACCTTGGAGTAATTCATATGTCATTGCATACTAATATTTATATCTCCGTGCAAATTGGTTATATTTGATGTTGCTGAAAGAAAAATTTGCCCTCTTGAAACGATGATCTTGAAAAATAGTTGTTATTTAATTTGTACAGTAGTTCAGAGTTGTAGATTGAAGACGCTAACTTTATCCGATTAAGCCACACATACAAACACAGCAAGAAAAAGAGTTAATTAACCATTGATTATCGAATTCATAATTTTGAGGGAAACAATAGTTATATAGATCGATGTTCACCTAACAACATTCATAGTGTACCATAGTGTGAAGCAGTGTGAAGATAATAATTTTGAATGATTTTTTTCAGTTTTGTTGTGATAGAGAAAAGAATCTGGAATGACCCCAGTACCATTATTTTATAATTTGTTTTTGTTTTTAAATGGAAAGGGATGAATCCCCTTATTTTATTGGAAAAGAAAATTTTAAACTTTTATCTTAACCATTGCGCTATTTTTCCTCCATTGGCGGTTGACCAAAAACGATTGGGTCACCGATCAATGCTGACAATTATTATCATAGTAAATAATTTGAAAAAAAAAATACTGTGTTGAGCTATATTTCCAATAGTCTATTGAACTCGAAGCAAACTAAGTAAATTTGTCTATGTACTTGAGTGTGCTGCCACTCTGTCGTAATTAACATGTCTAGATTTTATGTAATTGAGTGAAAATAATCATATCTCGTAGTAGAACTTGATGAACATGTTTTTGCGTAGCTTGAACTCTTTATTTATTGATGTTGAACCATACAGACAGACAGAGAGCGATGATTAATTGCAGCACCATCGACAAGTTCTTACCACTCTTATCATGCATAATCACGAAGGAAATTTTTGTGTTGCTATTATATATTTTTGACCGTATCTGTAACAGAGTAGCTCTTGGTATTTTGAAAAAGATAAAAGAAACTGTGTGTACACCTTTTTGAAACCAATTCAATTTGAGTTCTGCCGACAGACCCACCTGAAATCGTGTCCGCATCCAGACGTTGCTTTCGTCTCTTTTAGTTTGTAAGGCCGGCTCTAAGCGTTAGAAAATAGTATGATACTCACAGAATAATGTTTCATGAATATGCTAATTAGTCTAAAATATATTTTATTTTGTACCAATAAGACCAAAGCGTTGTTTTATTTCTTCTGATTTCCCAGATATTGGAGGATGTTTCTGGTATTTTCTTTTTTATTAATATCTATTCAAAAATTCACTCATTCTTCTCTCAGCAAAAAAGGAAGAATTGAAGGCAATCTGGCTTTCCTATAATTTGGAGTAAAAATTCAACCCATTTCCTATTTTTTTATTCAATGTGTATTTCAATTCATAGAATCACTTTGCACCTTCAGGGATTGAATTTAGCAAAACAACACTCAGACTGCTTCAGACCACAATTAACAAGAAACTATGGATTTTTTAATAACCAGCAGTTAAAATTTTTTTTTCATGTAATAATTTTTAAGAAATATTTAGAGTTTAGTCTAATCTGAATTTCAATATTTTCCAACCTTAAATTTTTACTATTTTTCATTTCCGCCAAAACTTGAAGCCTCTTTTTCTAAATAGCAGAAAAAATATTAAATTAAACATTAACTGAAGCTTTTCCTTCTAAATTTCTTGTGATAATTTTTTCCCTTATTTTTCGATAGTTTAAAAAAATACCAATAAAGAGAAGTTACTGTAGTATTTTAGTAACAAATTGTCCTTCCCGGGTACGAACTGTTGGTGCACAATGATTGAGCTAATTGAGTGTCACTGTCAAGCTCTCTTAAAAAATATTATTTCTATTGTTAGATTTTTTACCTACAAGGTCTCGCATAGGGGTATAAAAATTTATGATCAACTCTTGTCGACACCTTCCTTACCATTGCAAAGTATAATATTTAGTTCTTTTTTCTCAATACAATAGGAATCCATTTGCAACTTTGGTAATAATAATTGTTTGCTCTGCTGACAGCAGCAATGAACGCGTATTGATGTTGCCATAACACACGATGCAAAAATACAAAGTCGTCAAAACAATCAGCATTCGCCCTAATTTTAGAAGAGTAGTTATACTTTGCGAGCTGTGCAGTTCATTTTGAAGAACCAACGGGGCAGTGGTGAGTGTCATTTTTGTTATTTTTATGCTTATATTCCCACTTTGGTTTGTCTCTCTTTATCTGGTAAATTCGATCTGAACTTATTATTTGAAAAAATACCTCTGCGAGAAAATACGAAACGGTATTACGTGGAAAATCGTGCAGTCGCTCATCACGCGGCGGGCCAAATAAAAATTCGATGCACCCCGCCGAAATCACGAGACCTTTGTACGAAAAAGTGTCCTCTCATCAATTGCCATTATTTGCGGGCAACAATAATAATTTCGCGCGCGGCCTTTGTTTACCGCTCGCGTCTCTTATTTCATTTGCAGCGTGACTCGGCACGCTTTTTCGTATTATTTTAATTTCCAACTCTACTCCAGTTACAACACTCATTGTTCAATAATAGACACGAAACAGAGAGAGTTGCATCAAACGCGAATTCCTCTCTTCGAGTGCCAATCAACATTTTTTTCGAATGAATATACAAAGAGCTCGTCTGCAGTTCTCATCTCAAATCAAAAGCGTTACATTTAAACCCTGTTAACAAGTTTTCCATTCTACTTTCAGTTAGAAGTTAAATTTTATAATTATTATAAAATTGAAATTAAAATATTAAGAAAAATAATATAAAGATCATTTATTAGCAATAATATTTAGATTCCCCGTTTTTTTAGACTTAAAATATTTTTACAAGTAATTGACTTACTTACAATTTATATAATATTGAAATTTTGATTACAATGAATATTTAACAAAACGTATATTTAAAAAATCCAATTGAACTCCTTAATAATCTAGTCTTAGTCAACCATTTAAAAAGTTTTTATTTATTATTTATCAATATATGTTTGTTATGGACAGAATGCCACTCAAAATTTAAATAAAAAGGATGATTATGACTTAGAAAAGTCAAATTTTTATTTTTTATTTGGAGCAATTTGGATGAAAATTCACAACGATATTTGAACGGCATTTCAGTTCAGCATAATAAATCAAAGTTTCTTATGGTTCAAGATTTGTTTTCAAATTTTGGGTATTATAAAAAAATTAAAAAAAGAAAAGAAAGCATAAATTTAAAACTATATGCGTCAAATTCCAAATTTAAATTAATCAAATTTCCGCCATATTTTCCCGGCTGCACCAAAAGCTTCCCTTTCGCTCCACGGGGGTAGTGCCGGGTCCGATCATCCCCATCGCTGTGTAGAGGGTTTTGTCTGTGCGTATTGATTTTTGCGGCGGAGGCGTTCTCTCCGGCGACTGTCAGTGCGAAAACACCAGGCATGGCACCTCTCGCGCAGCAAACCTCGTTTCACTGCTCTTAGCTTCTGCTCTCGGATAGATTTTGGTACCTATTTTACAAAAACAACCTCCTCGTTTACTTTGAGCACTAATTTTAATATCACCCTAATTAATAAATACCTCCTCCAGCCAAGCCGCAACAATTTCTGTTGCCCGTAAAAATTTCTTTTCTATTTCAAATGGATTTTGACAAAAAAAAGTTAAATACAAAAATTTTAACACTTTAGTGAGCTGGATTTAAAATCACATGATTTAAAAATTTACCTGAAATTGCTGTTAAAATTTTTTATGTTGCTTTATTATTGCCCACCTTCTCCTTGGGTGTCTTTAATTTCAAACAATAGAAACGATACTAGTATCAGAGAACAAAAGATTTTTATGGAATGGAAAAATAATCCATAAATCGACGAACTAACTGTTTGAGTTTTTTGCCCTTTGCAGAGTTCGAGTGCGCACGTGAGGAGAGCGAGGGCGGTGCACCTTCGCCGTGGAGAGGGTCTCCACCTGTGTACCCTGGAAGAGGTATTAAAAAGGAAATTTTCCTTTTCTGCCCTGACCCGACGCGAGGAAGCGACACTCGCCAGTCGAAACTCGTCTTCGCAACAACTCTCCGCGAAATTATGATGACCCTGTGATATTCACGTCTAGTGCGCACATTTCTTCATTAGGGTGAGAGAGCAATTTTGTTTAACAAATATTTTGAATTAGATTCTTTACAATTTTAAATTATTAAGAAAGGTATTTAACAGCTTTATCCTTCACAGATTTTTTTTAACTAAATGATCAAATCTGGCAAAATACAAATGGAACATTATTATATTGCGTTAAATAAATATTTTACGCACTAACTCTCTATTAATTGAATATTATTTTTTCTTAACAAAGACAACTGGAGTATAGTAAAATATTTTTTACTTAGCTCTCGATATTTGTATTAAAATAACCAAAATAAATAGCTTTCAAATTATAATATAATTATAGAAACGCATTATGTTTTATTGTTTTCTCCCATAATTTTTTTTTAATATCACATTAAAAATTAAAAATTTTGTCAAAAAAATCTTTACTACTTTGCTCTTTTCACTCAATGTTTTAAACTTGTTCTTACCTGTAAAAGTAGCTTTAAGTGTTTTTAATTGAATTATTTTTTAAATATTGAAAAAAAAATCAATCAAGCCTGATTTAAAGCAAAATTCTTTTCAGATGTTCAATGTTTTAAAACTTGAAATATAGCATTTTTTATAATCATTGCTTTTTCTATTTTTGTTACAGAATTCCCATCTCATATACTCTTGTAGCTGTTTGAACTATTTCTAAGATTACAAAATGAATTTCCTCATCGATACGTTCAACCGCTTCTCCGACTTCTATGTGTGGACAAATAAAATATCTGGTAAATTATTTTCCTTATTTTCAATCTAACAATATAATGAACTTTTTTGATGAAAAATTTTAGACTCCCGAACCCGCGGGTGGCTTTTGGTGGACACGCCGTGGCCGACGCTGATGTACACGGCCGTGTACTTGGCCATCGTTTGGCTCGGCCCAAAGCTGATGCGCGACCGCAAACCTTTTGCACTCACTTGGGCTCTCATCCCCTACAATTTCGCCATGGCCGGACTCAACGCCTTCATCGCCTTTGAGGTTAGATTTTGCTTTAAAATCGATGATTTTTAAAATTATTAAATGAAATTTGTAGCTGTTCATCGCCTCTACCAGGCTTAGTTATAGCTACGTGTGTCAGCCAGTGGGCAAGAGTGCGAGTATCGACGAAATGAGAGTGAGTTGATTTTTTAATAACTAATTTTTTTATAAAATAATTGTCATCGGCAGATAACGCGGGCTGTGTGGTGGTACTACTTTTCAAAACTGATCGAGTTTTGCGACACGTTCTTCTTTATTTTGAGAAAGAAAAATAACCAGCTCACATTTCTGCACGTTTATCACCATTCGACCATGTTTTCGCTCTGGTGGATCGGAGTCAAGTGGGTGCCTAGTGGATCGAGTGAGTTATATTTATATATTTTTTTTACAACGTAGCTTAAAATTACTTTAAAAAAATCACTTAGAAACAAATAAATGACTGAAGTTGAAGTCAAAAAGTTAATTTAATTATCATATTTTAATAAAATAAAATGTGTCAATATCATTGAAAATTATTATTTTTTTATTAAATTTCTTTAAGACATTTTCCTTAATTATGGATGTTTATTAATATTATATGACTAAGTATAACTAATGCAACTAACTTCAGCGTTCCTGCCTGCCATGGTGAACAGCTGCATCCACGTGGTGATGTACACATACTACGCTCTGGCCGCCATGGGCCCTAGGATAGCCAAATATCTGTGGTGGAAAAAGTACCTGACCATCATGCAACTGGTAAATAATTAATCGGAACAAATTAGAATCTGGAAATGAAGAGATTGGGCTTTTCCGAAAATTGTTTTTATTCAAAAACAAATGGCTCTACCAGTTTCGGTCACGATCTGAGACCCTATATCATGAGTAAGAGCAAGAAAAATAAAATATGGTCGCAGACCGTTACCGAAACTCGTAGAGCCACTTTTTTAGAACAAAAACCATTTTCGCAATCAGGAAAAGCCCGATCTCTTCATTTCCATGATCATCTCCTCGATTGTCAATTTCTTCAAACAAATTTGAATCTGGAACTGACTGCAATTTTATGACAGATTCAATTCACGACCGCCCTTGTCATGGGGATCAACGGCATTAGGACGGGCTGCGACTTCCCACTGTGGATGCAGTACGCGCTCGTCATCTACATGATGTCTTTCATCGTCCTCTTTGGCAACTTCTACGTCCAGGCTTACATTGACAGGGTGATTTTTAATCTGTGTTTACTCAATTTTCTTTTCAATACCGTCCAATTTTTGTTATTTTATGAATTTAATATTTAATAGCTTCTATTGCTGTATTGATAAATTTAATATTAATTTATTATTTTATATTAAATATAAAAACCTCCACGCTTAGGGGAATTTGAGAGACAAGAGACTCGAATTAAAATCAATTAATGCTTTTTTTTAATTTTCTGGTGTTTTATGAGCCCAGAAGAGAAGAGGCAGAATCCTTCCTCTTGTGCGGCTCTCATCTTTATTTTAATCCGTGTCATTTTTCAACTAATTTTAGCACTTGAACCAGGGCAAGAAGAAGGCCGCGGTGCAAAACGGCTGCGCCAAGAAAAATGGACTGGTGAACGGCGGATTGCACCACTCGGTGGCGAAAAAGCACCTCTGAGCACAAGTGGAGAGGCAAATAATTTATCCATCTGCAGCGGCGTGCAAAAGTTAAGTGGATGGACAGTCAATTCCAAACACTCTCTTTCTCTCATGTAAAAAGTGATTTGATTATTTTGAATTGCGCCACTTCGAGATATTGTCATTTACAAAAGTGTTATGTTGTCGAAAACGTTATCAATTAAATCATAATGGTATAATAAAAAGTACACTGTTTGAAGACCAATCGGAATTTTTACTCCACAATATTAAAAATTTAAATCAATTACATTCATTTTAAATGAATAAAGTGGTTTTTTTTTTATAAAAAATTGAATAATTGAGTAGAAACTAATATTTGGAAAACTTTTTATGACATTAAAAAAATAATTGTATACGAAATTATGAAATAGTACAAGAATTGTTGGCACTAAGTTTACCTGCAATCATTGCAAAAAGTTCGCTGATCTTCCACATTGTTTTTATATCTTCTCGAGTCACATTCATACTTTGGATCGCTGAACTTAAGCTGGAGCCAGAACCCTCACCAACGTCTGTGATTGTGAACTTGACCAACACAACGGGTAATATCTGGAAAAATGGAAAATTGCAAAAAGGTATTTGGGACATTGAAAAGAATGAGACGTTCACCGCTTTTCCAAATTTTCTTTCATTGAAAAATTGCATAATTTAAAAAAAAGTATTTCAATACCTGGTCACCATTGAGAATGCAATACTCTGGATAGCGGAGGTGCCTTGCCAGTTCGGTGTTTTCATTTGGGTCCGCGGCGACGCTGTGGAAACCTGTTGGAATATTTTGGGTCGGCTGCGATGGTTTGTACTTTCGGCCCATGACGCAGAGGCAGATGAGCATCTGCCGAGTACAGACTTTGCACGCTATGTCCCTGTGCGTGGGACATCCTCGACTTCTTCCAAAGCAGTACTGGTTGGCCTTGGAAGACTGAGGAGCGACATAAATCCCCTTTCCGAACATAATGGAGCCCTTGGAAAAGCTGACGTCGAAACCCTCCCTTGCAATTTTCGTTGCATCTGGTGAACCGTGAAAGGCCTCAATTATTTCACTAGACCCATTTAAATCTCTTTCAATTTCTCCTAACATCAGATTAAATCTTCCAAACACAGATGGATTCACAATTTTATAAACCTGTAATTTTTCATAGCGATAAATATGTCAAAATCAATATTCTAAAAGTCTATAATAATTTCATGACAAAGTTTGTGTGAACTCACATTGGTAATTTTGTAGTCTTTCAATGGAATGCCATTATCATGGTCCTGAATTGTGGTTCGCATTCGCGACACGGTGCGTTTGTACAAATCATTGTCAGCAGATAGTGATTCTAATGCGAACATATTTCACACTGAAAATTAGCAAAAGCAAATATTTCAAAGTCAGTGGCGCGTTAGGAAGTCCAACTTATAAACCACATGTGGTTTATAAGTTGATACGTTTTTTTTTTTTGCAATACTATCGTAACTACTGACGCATAATAATATAATTATTATCTTATCTCCATATTATCTGATCAATAATGCAGATATTGCCGCCAATAAAACTAATAAGCATTTAAAATAAAAATTTTTACTGATAACGGTTAACTTGCTTGGCAGTCTTGCGTGGCGGAGCAGTCTAAATGAAACAATTATGTGATTCAATTGATTGTAGAATATTTTATTAAAATTAAATGTATTTAATATTTATAAATTTAAAATCGTACTCTATGCAGAACAATTCCAGTGGACTACAATCCGAATCATAATAATTTACTTTTTTATAGAAAAACTTAATTTTGATCCTTTTTAAAAATCTATAACCTTTAAAACAGGAATGTCTTTGTTAAGATCTAATCTTTTCTACTCAATTCTAGCTTTATTGTTAATTTATTCATTTTTTTTTAAATTCCAATTGATGAATGTAATTTATGTTGTAATTTATAGCTTTTTTGCTAATTGTATCTAATTTTTATCATAACGGATCATAGTATATATTGATGAATTTACCGGAATTTACATTATGGAGCAAGGATCATTATTGCTCTGTCCACTTAAATTTAAAAGTCGAAGCGGTGGAAAAACGACTGACAGTATTTGTGTCATAATTTTTAAATGAATATTTAGTACTTCTTCTCCATTTAACATGCCATTTTGAGCGTCTTGAAGAGTCAAAAACCGAGTAATAGGCGATTCGATTTGATCGGACAAGGTGAATTCAACAAGCATGTATGGCAGGACCTGAATAATAAGTTAAAACAATTAATATACAACGCATAAACACAAATTTTTTATAAGCATAATTTTTTTTTAAATTATTAGGCATTTAGATTTAAAAACATACAACTTACCTGGTCTCCGTGCAGAATGCAATATTCAGGGTACTTCAGATGTGCTGCGAGCTGACTCGAATCTTTCGGATCTGCTACGACGCTGTGAAAACCTGGAGGAATATTTTGGGTCGGCTGCGATGGTTTGTACTTTCGGCCCATGACGCAGAGGCAGATGAGCATTCGCCGAACGCAGATTTTGCACGATTTGTCCTTGTGCGTCGAACACCCTTGATTCATTCCTTGACTTTTTCCAAAGCAGTACTGGTTTGCCTTCGAAGACTGAGGAGCGAAATAAAGTCCCTTTCCAAACATACTGGTGCCCTTGGAATAGCTGACGTCGAAACCTTCCCGTGCAATTTTCTCTGCGTCTGGTGAACCGTGGAAGGCCTCCAAAACGTCACTCGGACCACCAATTTCCTGCTCAATACTTGTTTTCTTTTGTTCAAATCTTTCTTTTACTGATGTGTTCACGATTCTATACACCTGAAACAATTTGTATATTTTTAGTACGTAAAAGATTTCAACTGTTTTTAAGCCAGCGCGAGCCAGTTACTATTTTTAAACAAGTAATAAAAAATTAAACGTGAAACATGAAATAATAAGAATTATATAAAAATAATTGATTTTTTTTTTAAATATTGACTCACGTTTCTAATTTGGTAGTCCCTAAACGAAATTCCATTATCGTGCTCCATGATAGTGGTTCGCATTCGAAGCACAGTGTGCTTGTGTTGCAAATCATCCGACGAAAGTGATTCTAGCTTGAACATATTGGTAACACACAAGAGAGGCTCTTTTAATTAAACTTCTTCCTTATGCTTGCTTGTATTCTATATTTATCTCTATGGATAGACTTTAAAGTCTAAGGTTATTCTATTCTCCTTGGTTTAAATAAAATTTAGTCGTGCTTTTGCAATTATTGTCTTAGCTGAAAGCAGTAAGACTTTTAAGAGAGCGCCAAACTGCTTTATATGCAACACGAAGGACACTACGAATGTGCCGGTTGCATACTTTCTAAAATTTACGTTAACAATTTTTCAGAGGGAAAACGTCAGTCGTTTTCTGATTGGGTAAGTGCAAAAAAACGAGATCAGAAACGCTACATTTTACTTCAAGTTTTGAATAAAAAATTATTTCTGCTGCAGCTGCACATGCTTATATCATATAGGGGAACTAAAATAATTTAAAAATAAATAACACAGACGTGGTCCGTATACAAATTAACCTTTATTATCCAATTTTATTACAATTTTTTCATATAATGCCAATTTGAAAAATAATTAATTATTAAGTTAGTGAAGCCACTTTTACAACAAAATTGTAGAAAATGAGAAAATGAAATGCAAACTACTAATTCTGAGTCAAGTATTTAAGCCTTGGGCTGAATAATGTCCTACTCTACCATTGTTCTCCGCCTTGGTTGGATCCTCCTATTGGCTGTATGTGTTGTCACGCTGGCCTCCTCTGTTGTAGAAATTACGAGAGCCGCCACCAGAGGAGGAGTCTCTGTTCTGGCCCCTGTTTGAGTAATCTCGGCCACCTCTGTCAGACGAGTAATCTCGCTGGCCTCTCTCAGAGGAGTTGCTCGAGTAGGGAGCCGACCTCTGGAAGCTACTTCCATAGCTGCTGCCGCCTCCGCCATTGCGACCGCCATAGCCACCCTCATTCCTACCTCCAAAGCTACCCTCGTTTCGCATACCTCCAAAGTTGCTGTCACTTCGTCCATAGCCACCTCCGAAGAAGCCACCCTCTTGTCTTCCTCCGAAACCACCTTCCCTGTTGCCGTTGTTGTGGTAGTTCCGTCCACCTCCACCTCGAGGAGTCCTGTTCTTGAAGCGTTCAGCCATTTGGATCAGCTCGGCCGGCACTTCTTGTCCAGCATTCGAGATGATTTCCACCAGATGCTGAGCGGACCCCCAGTCTCGACGGGCAATCAGGGTGAAGGACTCGCCAGTCTTGCCGGCACGACCTGTCCGTCCGATGCGGTGGATGTACTGCTCGGAGGACCTTGGTACATCATAGTTGATGATGTAGGTGACACACTCGATGTCAATGCCCCGGGCAACAACATCAGAGGCAATGAGGACTCTGCTTTCACCAGACTTCATGTCCACAATGGCCTAAAATTTGATTGTTTAGTAATTTATATATAAAAAAAATGCAGAGCATAAGAAATTACCTTGTCACGGTCAGACTGAGGCAAACCACCATGAATGCAGACGCAGGGCCATCGCATCAGGCCGAGCTCACTTGAAAGGTGGTCTGCAAATGACTTTTTGCCCACAAAGACAATCAACTTGTCTGTGTCAGTCATCTTGTTCTTCAGGAAATCGACAAGCTGGAAATTGCAGGAAAAAAATTAATGAAAATCAATTTCAGGGTAAAAGCAATTTTAATAATATCTTCTATTTAAAAAGTAACCTACCCATTCGAATTTCTCGTTTTCCTCTTTGAAAACCACATTCTGCTTGACTGACTGGACAGCTCTCAAATCCACTGTGCCAACGATGACCAAGATCGGGTCTTTGGTGTAATTTTTGGCCATACGGCGCACTGACTGGGGCCAGGTGGCGCTAATAAATCAAATGGGATTTTTATACAGGTTTAACAATTTCTTGTAGAATCTATACCTAGTGAGAACAGTCTGTCGATCATGACGAACACGAATCAAAGCCTTGTTGATCTGCGGCTCAAATCCTTGGTTCAGCATCTCATCTGCCTCGTCGAGGACCAGAAACGAAACCTCTGCTAGATTCAACTGATCTGTAAGAATTTCATGTGTTAATTTTTGTGGAAAAATATGGGTTTCATTAAAATATACCTGAAGCAACAAGGTCATTGAGTCGGCCTGGAGTGGCAATCACAATCTCTGGGTTTTCCCGCAGGATGGCCACTTGCTCATGCTTGGGATTTCCACCATAGATGCAAACACTTTGTATAAATTTATATTTAATTAAAAAATTATTACAGAGAAGGATATAATGACACAAACCTCTTGATGCCCTTGTAGCTGTACTTGGACACTTCCTTGTGGATCTGTTGCACTAGTTCGCGCGTGGGTGCCAAAATGAGCACAGTTGGGCTTTTCCGCTCCGACCTCGGAGTCACTTGCGTCTCAATGTGAATGAAGGCAGGCAGCAAGAAGCCAAGAGTTTTGCCTGTTAATAATTTGATAGCATTATGCGATCAAATAATTTTTCATATGCTAACTTACCCGATCCAGTTTGAGCAATGCCAACGACATCCATTCCCTTCATGATGCAAGGCCAAATTTGGCTCTGAATTGGAGTGGGCTCAGAAAATCCCTGCTTCTGCACCTCCGACAAGATCTCAGGGTAGTCTCCATATGCCTGTTCGAATGAAGTCACAGGCTTTGGAATGGCCTTTTGGTTTTGGGTGTCATTTTCAACTGAAGGGGTATCAGGCCGCAGCAGAGGAGAAAGTTCCTCAGGCTTTGGCAGATTAACAGAGAGATTCTTCAAAGTCCTAACACATGAAACAAAATCACATTTAATATTTTAAAAGATGCAACAAGGAAAGCTATTGACCTGATCTCCAGAACCTTCTCATCAGTCAAATTGGTAACTGAGGGATGCTCCTTGTAGACGTCCTTGATGATTTTGGTCATGGACGCAAGCTTGGCATTCCGATAACTTTCCTGCAGGACGGATAACATTAAAAAGATGAAAAACATGATATTTTGTTGCACGAATTTGATTTAAATTTATGTATAAGATACGTTAAAGAAATTTATTAAATATAATTTAAAAACTAAAATTTTTGGAAAATCACACAATTGAAATTGCTGTTGTTTTTAATTTTTAGTTATTTTAATAGGGGTTTTAATTTGGGGAATTATAACTTCATTTTAATGTGCTGATTTGTCATAAATTTAGCAGTGTTTGTTTGGATATGTACGTGCATGACATTAAATCTAAATAAAAAAATAAAACGTATTATTAAAGAGCTTACAGCTTCTTCATTGGCCTTTTTGAAGTCGAATCCGAAATACTTCTCTTGGCCACTACTTTGTTCCATTCCTGGAAAAAAGGGTAGGATTTTATATGAAGACACTTGCCAGAAAATAAAAATGACAATAATAGTTCATATATATCTTGCTCATGAAACCACTTTTTCTCAACTTTAGAGACCATTTTGAGTGGGTAGAACATATGGTTTGTAATTAAAAACGATCACAAACCAAGCGCGCAGCTTGTGCTCTTGTGCTGACTATGCAAGTTAAGACGCACTCTATGCAAGGAAAGAGCTTCTCATGTAACAAAAACACTCCTATCCCTGCAATACTAATAGTAAGTGCACCGCTTAGCACTTCTCAAAATAATGTTCACAATATTTTATACAACAATTTTACAATAATTTTTTCTTAAAACATTTTCAGAAAAAAAGTATTACTTATTCACATAGCAGTCCAACATTTAATTTAAAATTACAATAAAAACAAACATTTTTGGCATTTTCATCGTTATATGCATTCCAAAGCTAAAATTAAGCATTTTCTCAAAAAAATTCATAATATATCTTACCGCCATTGGAAGCTGGCTCTTGCTCCACTTCCTTTGGCTCGACCTTCATTGCTTGTTCTTTCTCAGGCCCCTCGTTTTCAAGACGGCCGTTCTTAGCTTCTGCAAGGCAAGCAAAACTCCTCTCCATCTGAGAAGTGGCCCTTTTCTCACTAGGACTGGGAGTGTCCCAGCCGTGCAATTCCTCTGGCTTGGCATTGGGCACCTTCCAATCATCATCCTCGATGGCCACTTTCTTCTGCACAACCTCAGTGGCCGCAGCCTGTTCCTCGTCTTTCATCGTGGTCTTGAGAAGTGGCCTCGGCTTGGTTGGAGTGGCCTTTTGAGGAGTGGTCTGTGTCACTTTGTCCTCGTGGGTCTTGGTGGCGTCCACCGCCTTGTCTTCAGAGGTGCAGGTGCCGCCACTCATCCAGCTCGGCGGACGGACGATTTCCATGGGCACTTCGGGCGGAGTCATTCTTTGAGCATAGCCCGAATCAAAGTGTTGTGGGGGCGGCGCAGGACACATCCACATGGGAGGCTGGACGTAGTTGACAGCGGATGGATGTTGGCCCGGCGGAATCATGATGTAACGGGGCTGACTGTACTGAGTCGGGCCACCTTCGTAAACAGCCTGCGTGTACATCGGCTGGGGCTGCTGCTGGTAGTACTGAGGATGAGGTGCATGCTGTGGCTGATGGTGCTGGTAAACAACCTGAGGTGGGGGCTGGTTTGCCATCAATAGCATTGGACGGTTGTCCTTTTGCTGCAAATAAAAAAAAAGTGAAATTTCAAATTAATACTATTTAATCTAGAGATCTTTAAATTAAGCTAATTTATTAATTACTTTTATAGTAAATTTTAAGTATTTATTTTATTGGTCATATTAAATCAACATCTTGAACAAATATCTAAATTTAGATACTTTAATTAATGACGAAGAAAATTTAGAAGTTATTGGTTATTGTAAATGACGAGTTACAAAAAATATTTGTCATACAATCAAGCAAAACTTAATAAAGAATTTCTTCTCAATTTTGAACATCATAAATATATTTTTTTCCAAAGGATTTTAATTTTTATTTCTTATTAATTATATTTGGTTTCTCATTCACCTGTTGCATCATGTCTGCTCTCTGGCTCTGGGGATGTGCATGGCCGATGTAAGGGAAAGCATTTGCCGTGCTGTCCGGCTGACACGTGGCAGGCCCTTTGAGCTGCTCAGGTTCCTCAGGAATGATGGGGCTCATGAATTGCAGAGCAGGCTGCTGAGATGTGACTGCGGTGCTGACTGGAACATTGCCATGCTGAGCAGCCACCATCAAAATGGGAGAGCACTCTGGGGTCATGACTGTCGGAGGCACAGCAGTCACTACCGAGGTTGGCATCATCATGCGAGGCTGACCAACACCTGTGACGCATAATTTTTCCATAAATAACTGGAAAATCTTATAAATTACAATTAAGACTGCATAGCTATTATATTAATCAAAAATCCAATACTCACTTATTAAATTACCTTCTTGCAGCAAGATTTGCGTTTAGAAAAACTTTGCCTTTCACTTTAATACAAGTAAATAAAAAATTAAATCATAATTTTGTCGAGAATTGCTGTAAATTATAAGCTTGTACACATATAAAATCAATAAACTTAAATCGCATTTTAAGAAATCATAAAGTAAATATTTTCTTAAATATAAAATTACAAATTTGGGGTCGCCTTAAAGCTATGCGCATGTGACATAAAATTTGGTTATTAATTCAACAAAAGGTGATTCCATGAGCAAAATATATGGAAAACCTTGAGCACGTGTGAAGTTTGAAAATTACGTACCTGGAGAAGACGGTTCGTTTTTGGGCAGTTCTGGAAAATTCTCCTGATTCAGAGTCAGGGTGCGTTGGTTGGTCTCGAAGTGGCTCGAGAGCGGTGGCTGTTGGTTTAGAAGTCGACCGCGGCCTCGAGGAATCAAGATCTTTTTGGACGAATTCATTTTGCAGACGACAGAACGATGACACGATGCTGAATTCGCGACAGATCGCTCTTTCACGATCGATGGGGCACAGGTATCTCGGGAGGTCACGGATTGGTGACCTGTGACCGCGGAAGGTGAGCTTGGAGATATTCTGCAGATGCACCGATGCAGCGACGCCAAAAGCCAAGCGAAAACAATCAACATGGACGATTGTGGCGAAGGAAGAAGAAAGGCATGCGAGTTGTGGCCAATCACCGATCTATCTATTTTTCGGCAACAGGCAACTTTCTGCAGAGAGGGGTGAGAAAAAAGGAATTGGACGATGAGAGACGCGTTCGGCGCAGCTCTGAACGTGTCTCAACAACTGCAGCGAGTTCCTTGAAGGCGCGCGCTGGCACTAAAAGCGGAAAAAGCGCTTTTATTGAAGCAGCGCCGAGGCACAAATGTGAAAAAGTAAACATTTTATTAAAACAAGCTTGTTGAAATGGAAAAGGTGCAATAATCAAGTATAAAATAGCATCAAAATTAGTTTTGAATAAGAGTGAGTTAAATCTTCATAAAATAAAATTATTTTTTAGCTTACAATAAAATTGCTTTTTCTGATTTAAAATACTTTTTTCATTTTTCATATTCATAAATAAAATGTTTATAATTGCGTAAAAAAAATTTATTGTCTATAAAAAAAAACGTTTAAGACCAAATATTCAAAAATTAAGGTATTATGAATGTGATACAATAATTATATTATGATACATCGTGATACATAATATATTATTTCTATTAGAATTTTAATTTGGGCAGACAGATAAAATCATTAACATTTAATTATTGAATACATGTTTTGTATTGCATTGTGATAAAAAAAAGCATTATGCAAAATTGTAAATAATATCATAAAACTATTTTTTTCATCTTTTTGCAGTAAAACAAGCTAAAGGAAATTTTGTTCTGAAAATTAACTTATAGTGGATTATCATTGACTTTGATTAGAGTCCAAACAGGCTCGTTTATAATATCATGATAATGATGGGAAATAATGGATAAAAATTTTCTAGCACATAAGATTACGTTCTCTGAACTGAATAGCTTGTGAAAATTAAGCTATATATAGATACCATTATTTTTATTTTCTACAGATCTACTAATAGATTAAGACAAGAAAATTATAAATAAAACTGAACTTTTTATATAAGTGCTAAAAATTTGTTAAATGCAACTATTAAAATAAATTTTAGGGAATTCAGGGCTAATTGTGCCCAAAAAATAGTAAATTCCTCAGCTGAACTTTGCAAATGAAGTATAATTTAAATTGCAGGTTACGGTGAAAAACGATATGCAACAGGTATTTAACATCAGATTAATTTTCTTAAATTTATTAACACTATCAAATCAAAAGTGACAATGCAATAATTCTCTACGAGTAGTAAAAATGCAGAACAAAATTTAAGCATTAGCTGGTGCTCGGTTTGGTGCCTTTTGCGTGTTGTTGATTTTGTCGCCAAGACTGAGCGCCATTCCCTGGCTCTTGGCTCTGATGCGGATGTGTCCAACAACAGATGCGTCTGGCTTGCCAAAGGGCTTTTCAATGCTCAGGTTTGCCAGGGCGTCTTCGCCAAAGATGGAACGAGCATACAGGTTAGCTGCCATAAAGCCGCACTCGCCGGAGAGGGCCTTCTCGGGAGTCAGACACTTCATGTTTGTGCTCTTCAGCAGCAGCTGCAAATACTGGTGCAGATCGGAAACACTGGTGACAACGGAAACCTAAAATTTCAAAAACTCATGGTTTCCCAAATATTTCAAGATAAATTAAAAAATACTTTGTTTTCCCATTCAAACTCTGCCCACATTTGCCTGAATTCTGTGTCTGTGCAACTGGCTGGCACAATGTAGTCCATGATGTCGATGTGAATGTCATTTAATACAACAACATTTCTGTCAGAAGTGGAGCCACTCACATCATACACTAAAATATTTTATTGTTATTTTTCAACCAATCCAAATTTATAAAAAAAAAGGAAATATTTACCAATATTTCCAAAAATGATTCCATTCTCTGTTGAGGCCACTTTGACATTGGCCTTGATGTTGCAAAAGTCCCTCGGGGCCAAAACAATCGGCTGAGGCTTTTCCACAAGTTTTAAATCGCCCAAGGTGGCAAGCTCTAGAGTGCAGTTTTGCAGAGTGTCATCAGTCTGGTTGACGACCAGCACGTCCAAAACAATATCGTACTGGTTGACATGCACCAGAGCCTCAGCGTAAACTGGATCAGAAAGACCAGTCAGTTGTGTGACCTGGAAAAAATTTATGAAAAACCTTCAGTTGTGGAGCTCAAAAAGCAAACCTTGTTGAGTTTAGAAGAGGCAGCAATTGATGCATCTTGACTCCTGGCCAGACCCATTGCCTGGCTAAGACTGGCGTCAAAAACGTTTTCTTGACCTCCAAGGTCACCCTTTGGAGCCAGCTGGGCAAACAAGACAGGCTCATCTGGCTGCACAATGGCGCCTGGCTTTTCCTTAGCTCGCTGGGCAGTTGCTTCTTCATCAGCTTGGGCGGCCAGCATGGTGGCCAAAGCACGACGGCATTCCCTTTCAAAGACCGTGGCAATTTGTGCAGGACGATCGTTGTTCGAGAGCACCCGCAAACAAAGCCAAAGACGGTCGGCGTCATCATTTGTAATTGCCTAGAAATTCAGTTTTTCAGTAAAAAGTCATAAAAAACACAAGGTTAATTTGAAATAAAGTAATTACAAAATCCGCAGACTTGTTCTGGAAATAGTTTGAGTGAGTTAAATAATGGCATATATCTGGCCTGAGAACTTCATTTTACCTTCGTCGGCAGGCCGGAACGGCCTAGATGAATCACGGAGGCCAAAACAAGCATTGCCTCAGCACAAAGGCGATTACGCTTCTTGGCATCACTGACCAGCAACGAAAAGCGCAAAGCCAGTTTAGTTAAAGTTGTGCCAAGAGCAGCACCGACAAAGAATTCTCCGTCCATCAGCATTTGCCTCATCGGGGGTCGAACTTCTCCACTTTTAGCAGCACTGGTAAAATATTGGAATAATATAAGTAAAATATAAAAATTTAATCTTCCATTTCTTGTACCTGGTTGTGTTAAAAGCAGACTGCGATGCGTATGTGCCGTCAGAGGTGACTAATTTTTGCACAGTCACTGAAGATGTGGCTTCCTCTTCGGTCTTTTCTCCTGAAGCTTTCTTGATCTCATCTTCAACAAGTGGGATCTGAGTACAATCAGAATTAAGCAAAAGCAAACATGCGATGGGACAGTTTTACCTCTCCAAGTGCTTGTCGAAGTTGGCTCATGACAGCCTGAATGTCATCTTCGGTGCTGGCATATTCGCCGAGAATCCAAAGGGCAGCCCTGCTGACTTTTGCCGACTTGATGGATGGGAAGGCGTCAAGCAGGTGCTCAATGATCAGAGGCCGCAAGTTCTCAAAACGTTGGATAGCCTCTCTGTTTAAAAAAAATCTACTTTTTGTAGGGGAAAAAATTATTTGAAGAATTAATACCTTAAGAATACAAGCACATCAGTTGCAGCAAGCTCGTTACTGTCGGAGAGAAACTCGACTAAGACTGGCACAACAGTGGCCGCCACATCCGGAAACTTGACGCAGCAAGCGTGAAGAGTGCGAACCAACAACTGACGGTACTTGCCAGTGTCATCATGTTCGATGGTATTGTGCGTTTTGGCCACTTCCTTGCGCAGAACTAAAACAAGCTCTTCGATATTGCGGGAGGAGACTAACTCAAGAGCCAAAGCCAGAGTCTTGCGCCTCACTTCCAGATCGGGGCTTGCAAGGACACGGACAATATCCATCACCAGCTCTTGTAAAACTCTCTCATGAGATAGGTGCTCCTGATGAAATATCAATTTTGAGCAAAATGAAGACCAACTGCTTATGAAAATTTACCTTGAGGGCAATCAGACGGTCAAGTACAATGAGCTTCACATTATTGTCACTCTCCTTCACTATCAACTCAATGTAACAAGAAGCAGCTGCTTTGATGGCCGTCGGAGCGCTCGAGAGGGTGACCAAAGTTCCTGCTGCTTCATAGCGCACCGCAGCACTCTGCGAGTTGAGTAGCGAGTAAATGCACCTGATGAAGCGAGACCTTTCACTCGGATTTGCGTGGCAGACCTGAATAAGGAAATCATGCATAAAATGTTCACTTCTGAATTTGCGTGGAAATACCTTGTAGATCAACTCGACAATGACGAGTTGCAAAATGTCCCCAAAAGAGGCAACCTGATCGAGACAGGCAGCAAGATAGGAGAGGGCCCTTTCTTGGTCAGCATGCAAAAGCATGAGGAATGCGTTACGCTTGCATGACATGTCCTGCTCTCCTTCCAGGAAGTTAGAAATCAACTCTGGGGCGTCCGGAATCAGAAACTCAAAATTCCTAAGTAACAAAAATTGTAAGTTTTGGACAATTTTTATTTCATTTTTCCAACCTGTATATCGTAAAAATTGCTAAAACGGAATTCCTCCTCACATACGAGTGCCTATGCTCCAAACAAGCTCTGATAGCAGGCATGAGAGGCTCCAGCAACTCAGGTTCTTTTAGTTTGCATAAAAATCTCAACGTTGATCCTCTGATGAACTCGTTGGGGTGCTGCAAATCTTTTCTGTATGCGTCACACACCAAAATCATCTCCTGCATGAGTTTTCCGTCGGGGGTGGTCTTGGGCACAATCTCCCAGAAGACGAGCAGCAGCTTCTTGATCATGTGGTCCTGCAGGGGCAGCACAAACCTGATCACAGTCATCAACAAGCCAGGAAGACGTTCGCCAGCCAGGATGAGTTGGATGCTCTTTTTCAGGGCCTCAATCTTAATTTTGATGTCGCCCTTTTCTGTAAATTTTAGGAAATAAATCAACATGTCAATAGAGAGTTAATTATTTTTACCCAAATCAGCCCGGAGCTGCATTTCATTTGGGGCCTCAGAGTCCGAGGGCATGTTTATGAGGGTGTAACATGGTTGCTCCACCGCCGTCATTCTGCAAGAATTATCAAGTAAAAACCAGGAAATAGATAAACTTTGACGTTAAGGGACGTACCTGAATTCGTGCAGAGAACTCTGACGCGGGAAATTCAATGCCGAAAGTGATTTAAGGCGAGTTTCGGCAAAAAATCGGCTTCGAAAATTTTAGGGACGTGTCTTGTGTGTCAAGAGCCAGAAGCCGGTGACATTTGACGTGTCGCGATTAAGTTAATTTTACCGGTTTTCATATATTTGAAGTTTTGATTTCATCAGCTATTACCAGATTTTAGCGCGAAAAAATAAAACTTAGAATCACATTGTATAGAATATAAAATTTTTTATATATTTAGATGAGAATTTGGCCCTTTAAACGAAAAAAGAACACTTTTATAGTGACTAAAAGTACCGGTCCCAGAGAAAATCAACCGGTTATTTATTTGTGAAGTGGGCGTGGTGAAACTTATGGCAACTTCTTCATGCCTTGTGGGACCTTGGCCGCAGTAAAATTAAACAGGGTCATGCTTTGATTCACTGGACAAAATTAATAAAGGACTTTCGATGGTAATAATTTTATTGCTTTTTAACTTTTGAATTTTTCTATATGGTTTTATAATTTTATATATTTTTTATGTAGTTCAGAGTAAATAATTGCGAAAAATCCATATTTGTTTAAATTATTATATAAAATTATTAAGAACAAAATATATTTTATATTATTATTAATTATATTATTATATTTGTTAAAAAATACTCAATTTACCTCTAATTTTTGTAGCATAATATTTAGCATATCTTGTAAAATATTTGGAAGAAAGTCAATTTTTATTTTTATTCTTTCCCTTAATCCTCTAAGAAAAAAAAATAAGTGTACTGGAATTAAGTATGTGGAAAAGAGTCTGTTGGCGTTGAAAGGAAAAGATGTCGAAGTAGTTCCGGCCGCGGCCTTTGAGTCGAATCCTCGTCAAGAGAGTCTTTTGGCTCTTTGTGCTTTCAGTGGCGATTGAAGCGCAAAAAAATGAGCCACAAGTGGGATGGTGGCAGCATAGGTGGGCGCACTATAAGGGTGCGTGCGCGCATTTTGGTCGCGAAATAAATACACCTCGCCCCGCCACGTAAACGGATTGGAAAAGGCAAAAAATTCGAAGGAGGAGGAAAGAGGCTGCACACATTTATTTGCAGCGGCTGCTTATCTAGAGAGAGACATATTGCGCTCGGCCGAATTCAATTTGCGAAACACGATCATGTCAGGCAGAAAGGCGATTTATCTGCGAGTGTGTTATTCATGCTGCAGGCTTGATTGAACAAACTCAATAAACAAAATGCTCCCCAAACATTACGCGTTTGATCCCTGGCTGACATTCGGCCTTTTCGCCGCATCATTTTTTTCTTTTACGACACACACTGGAATATGCATTGCCATATGGCGAGTGGTGATGATCGCGCGCGACCCATCTCGGCAAATGCATGCAAATTGAAAGTCTACCACCGCGCGTGTGTCACTCGACTTTCAGCACATTTATTTTTCTGTCGACGGTTAACATATATTCCTTGAAAATTGAGTTTCCTTTCTCAACGAGAGAACCTCAATGTCAAGAAAACAATCATTTTTTTTCACTAAAATTTTACAACGTTCATTTTTAATATTATTACTGATGATAAATAAAACTTTTTAAAATCGCAGCGTAGGGAAGCAAATAAAAAGTACCATCTTCACTAGAGTAAAATTTGGCGCCCGGCTCATTGGACTTCATTTAATATTGGGCCAGTTTATTAAAAAAACAAACGGCCCTATCAGTTCAGGTCACAGTCTGAGACCTTATATAACGAGCGATCACAAGCAAGAAAATATACAAAAAATAATCAGCAAAATTGGGAACACCAATTCTAGAAAAAAAAACGGAATTTTTTTTTAAAACTAACAGAATTTCAGAACCGACCCATTTCTTTCATTAGAGCAAACGCACTGCTCGCTGAGTAATATACAAAAGAATACATTATCACATGAGATAGCTCAAGATGGATTGATTGGGAAAGGTAATCTTTATTTAGCGATTGGTTCATAAAATTAAAATTACCAGAACTGGTTGCGCCGCTTACTTATGAATAAAAATTTTAACAATGACAAACCCCGCTCTTCAATGAACGTCTCCTCGAGTGCCAACTGCTTCTTCACTTGATAGGTAAAAAAATATAGTCCATGTATTGCAATTTATCCAATAAGTGTAAGCAATCGCGTGAGAAGTTTATGGTTACAAATTGTATTCTTTTGAATTTGTTAGGTTCCATTTTTTTTTTGATAAAAATTATATTATTTATTTGAGAAAGAAGTTACAAGTGCAGTCAACTCCAGAGCTATCAATTGGTGCTTGTGAGAATCCCCAAAGATCTGATGGAATGGCCTAGAAGCACTGGTTTTCCCTAATTGAGTGGACCTTAACAGGGAAAAAATCATTATTTTGCAGAGCTTGAATTTGCAGAGGTTATCAAACAAGATAAGCAGGCGTTTGAGCAGCTTGGAAATGAGTGACAAGGTCAAAGTTTACAACAAAAAGTTTATATGGTCTATTTGGAAAAGTATTTAAGATGAGAATGCTGCATTACAATAACACTCAAGTCATTCCGCGCCGTGACTTCTGAGAGAAGCCAAACCGGAAAGAGCAAAATGGCAGTACGTAGGTAAGAAAAGCGTTTGTTAATGTTTTCTTGTGTTGTTTTAAAATTAATATTTAGATTCAGAAAAGGTGACTGGTTCATTAAAAAGACATATACAGTAAAGATTCATACACAGTTGTTGAAGTTTGATATAAAGAAATTTTTGGATATAATTTATAATCAGAAAAAAAAGAAAAATGAAAAATAAATAATCATAATGTTGACAGGATTCACAGGTCGTCAATTGAGAATAAATAATTGACAACTTAGTTTTTAATATCAATAATTTTGTACTATAAAGTCATATTATGTTCTCAGTATAATGTTAAAATTATTAGTCTATGGGGTGCAGGACAACAGGTTTGTTTGACAGGTCCATTATATATTGTGTAGATGAAATGAACAAATAATTTTATAAATCAAATGAAATACCACAAGTTTTTTTTCTCAGGATGGAGGTTTCATATGTGTATTGTGATGATGGCGATTACACTTTCAAGCACCAACGTTTTGGCGGCAAGGGGGAAAGCTCCGCCTGCACTGGGCCAATACGAGTGGTTAAGAGATGACGGGCTCACAAAGTGATTATATATTCAGTTTATTACAATTATGCTTTGAATCGTGGAGTTTCATGAACACTTTTTTCTTTATATATAACTATACAGCATGTTGGGAAGATAAAAAATTTTAAGAATAAACATTGGAAATTTCAGGGGCTGGGAATTCCAGCCTAATGTTGATTATAATCTTATTGGCGACCATCCTGGAGAGGGAACCCTCTACAAGGTGCTCAGGGCATATAAAGTCGCCCGTCAACGAATTGAACGCGAATTGAACCTAATTTCGGGCAGAAACTTTCAAAAGAAAGCTGGAGACTATCATATTTCCTCCGCAGACTATCAAGCTTTAAGGTCAGTCAAAATGGAATAAATATTTTACTTTTAAATTTAATGCATTAAAGTGTTTTTGGTGAAGAAGTTAGATAAAGAAAAAAATGAAATTAAAAATTAAAGTGAATAGAGTGAAGAATTCTTCTGAGAAACTCCAAAATATTATTATTGTTATCTCCAAATGTTTACAAAGGTTGTTGACTATTTTGAAATGCTTATTTACACTTTTACATTAGAATGGATGCGATTCTGGTGAAAGACAACAACGGGAATTTGAGGAGACTTGCTTTTCCTGTTGAAATGAAAGCCACGGTCAACATACAAGAAAAGGTGGATATTAAAAAAAATCTTGCTGTATTCTATCAAAATTAAACAAAAATTTAATCCTCTGTAAAAATAAAAATAAATTATTCTAACATTTTTGCAGGCGAATACGTTTAGAAGTGTTGAAGTGCAAATCGACCTGGACAGTCCTTTTGTTGGATATACAGGAGAGGGGCCACGCGGCCCTCACGTCGGCTACCAGGTGAAGAAACCCAAAGAAGTTATAACGGGCCACGTGCTGATCGATGCCAACCCTCCGAAAGGTGGAAACCCCTGTCCGCGGCTGCTGCCCGACCGAGACAGCATCAAAAAGGACTCTGTAGTCCCAGCCGGTGTGGGGAAAATCAGGACCAAAAGCGTGCTGGAAGGAGTGGAGGCACTGGAGGCTATTCCAAACGGCGTCAATCTCAATCTGTACCGCGTCCCCATGACTGAGGGCGCCAAGGATGCTCACTTTACGGCCAACTTTTATTTGAATATATGTCAAAGTTATCTTGATAATGCAGCAATGAATTTGATCCCCAGAGATGTAACTTTTGATTGAATCTAATACATTTTTTCCTTCGCAAATCCAATGCATTTAAATTTTCTGATTGTATAAAACACCGTTTAAAATAATAAGTTTTTTGCACAATGCGAAACGCACTTCTCATTAAAATCGAATGAGGGTGCTTTTAAAATGCCAGGCTTTCACACAAAAATGGTAAAATCATTATAGAGAAAAAAGCAAAGCAGGCTGGAGGCGAGCAAAAGTGGAAGGATCAAATTATCAGCGTTCTTTTGTGCGCTTTCTTTATTTTCCGCGGCAGCCTCATTGTGTGTTTGGCTCAATTATCAGGGAATGAGAGAAAGAACGAAGGGGAGTCATTATTTATTTTGCGAGAGTCTCACTTGTTTCGGCGAAACACAAATACAAATCCTTTAGCTCTCGACGTTCACCCCTGCCTGCTTCTGCATGTGCCGCGCCGCACAAAAAGACTGCAGGGCAGGGGAGGCATGCAAATGAGTATTCAAAGCCGTTCTCCGCCACCGCCGCGGCTTTAATTATTACCTCGGAATTATTGCAGCTCGATTCTGACGAGAAGAGCAGTCTCTCTCTCTATCCGATGACGCGCGATCGTTCCGTCTGATTGGACCCAAGCAAATAACATTCCGTAGAACATGCCCGTAAACCTGAAAAGGAAGGTTAAGTTGTTTGCAGGAACAGAGAGAGCATAGAATTAATCTTCGCTTTGCTCGCTCCTCGCGCGCGCGAGAGAGAGGAGCCTTTTATGAACCCGCTTTTTATTGCCGAGCGCCCATTAAATATGCATCAGGCGCCGGTCTGATTTCGACTTCGGGGATCTGACAAGTTCCGATCATTACGAAATAACCCTTACTAACTCACAATGGTTTGATTAATAATTTATTGAAACAGCTACTTGCAATTATTGCAAGACTGAAAATATTTTTAAATATTTAAAAAAATATCTAGTTTATTGTAAAATATAAAGTTTATATATAGATTTAAAATGGGAAAATTCCTAAAGGAAAAAGGAGGTGAATTTATCAATTATCTGTTAAAATGTGATTAAGGGGTTTCAAATTATTAAAAATAAACAATTTATATTTATTTTTATAATATTCGGGTCAGAAAATTTTGAAATGAAGATCCTAGTAATTTATTACACTTCTCTTCATAAACTGTTTAGATAACTAACAGTGTGTCTTTCCATGCAGTGTTAAAATCTGAATTTTGCACTCTAGATTGAAGATTACCAAATTATAAACTTGAGTTCAAGCTGAAAAGAACGGTTTCGCTGCGGCCATTAACTTTCAGAGTGCGCCATGAATCGCAGATGATCCAAATCCGGTTTAATCGCACACCAGGAGCAAATGGGAAAATACAGCGCGGAGCGTCCGGCCAGCACACTGAATTAGAAATTTTAAATCACAAACGCTCGCTCGCCGGGTTGCCCGCACACATACAAACCATATGTAGTAGAAAACTAATGGCAAACAATATACATGCTCGCAATACGTAATTCCGCAGCATAATAACAAGTTTATTTAGTATAAATAACAACAATAACGAGGGAGAGCAGGCAGGGCCGCCACAGCAAAGAGCGAATATTAGAAGTCGGGCGAAGGATAGGCATCCGGCTAGTCGGGCGTGTTGGGCAGGTTGCATAAATCATCCCGGCCGAGTTAACTCCGCGTAGCACACGTTTGTATGCGGGCTGAATGTGGAATGCACTTATAAAACATTATTAAACGGATTGCTACGTCGCTGCCAAGTGTCAAGTTTTGCGTTTCGCATTCAATTTCAGTGGAAAGCGAGTGCGTTGCCGCTCTCCAGAAGCTGCGAAAAGTTTCACGTTGTAAATGTTTAAGACTGCCATTACTTGCAAATGTGACACACTACGTTCTCTTGCCCAAGTGTGCTCTCCGCGCAAGAGGAAAGGTGGAAACTGCATCTTTCTTCCGTTTTTCCGGTAAAAGAGCTGTATTGTTCGCAACGTAAAAAGCAGAGAATATTCACATTATTTAAACGACGAATTTTAAATATTTGTCAAAAGAGCAGAATAAACAGTTTTTTTTTTTTTTTTTGTAAAATCCAATCTTTTAATTGTGCAGATATTGACCAAACATTAATAGGTTACCGAAAATTAAATTCTGTAAAGATTTTAGGCTTTTGAGCCTATTGTATATTTTTTTTATTATTCCAGCTGATCGAACTTTCATGTATAATACCGTTTATATTATACCATCAACCCGCGCACCAAACAAAAGGTTTCAAAAAATAGCATTAAATTTTCCTGGGCGGAAAATAAGCACAATAGATCAAAACCACGACTAGGGGATTATTTTAATCGCGTTTCTCGTCGTTGCAAATCGATTGACGTGAGCAGCTTTCCGGCTCGGTCCAAATTAAGTGGAGCCGCAAAGAGACGAAAAAGCAGTCTGTGTGCCGGCTCTCTCTCTCTCTCTCTCGCGCGCTGACTGGGCGAAACGTAATCAGCCAGCCAGCCGACCGAGAGATGGTTATGATTATTTGTATCAGATCCGCACGCGTGCTTTGAACTCAAAGCCCGGCTTTAATCACCCGAAAAGCGGCGTTCTGCAGCTGGAAATGCAGCCGCCGGCATTTCTGTGCCTCAAAACAAGTCACCCTTTCTAATTAATCTCGGTCGGTAGGAATAATGAGCGAGCGACACAGAACGAACGAATGTGCCACCCAGTGAGGCGTGCAGTGTCTTTGGCGAGCTCTCATTACTACTGCCAATTCGACTGCGAGCCCGCGCGCCTCAATTACTCATCCATTATTATTTCGTGCCACCCGTTCGCTCCGCTAATGTGCCAAAGCAAAAGAGAACGGCACGCTTTGTTGTTGTGCGAGATTTGGAAAAATCGGTCACGTTTAAATTTGCATTGAAAGGTCATAAACGTTTTCCTGATTCTATTTTGATCAAACCCGTTCCGTTTTCTCCACAACAACAATCTAGAAAAAAGAACTTTTCATAGTTAAATTGATTGGCATTAACGGAAATTTACTCTAAAAAAGCGAAAGGCAGAGGCCGGCTCGTAATTATGCTCATAGCGCGAAGCGCGACAATGGCTGCTCGGATCGAAAAAATAAAATACGCGACAATTTTCCTTATGCCTTAATTGTTCTGTAAATACAAAATTTTCAATCGCCAAAAATCTAAAACTTTCAATCAAAGCGATATTTTGATTAATTCCGTCGGGACATCTTTGTCGGGTTGCTAAACTCGTTCTTGCCGATTTAGACAACAGGACACGCCCAATTATGCTTATTGTTAGTACTGGCTTTCTTTGTTGACAAAGAACATCGTGTCTTGCCGGGATCAAGATTTAGCCCGAATTTGGCCTGAAATAGGCGAAAATCGGCCGAAATACAACGTGCGAAGGAGGGCTCAAGTCAGCGCAGCAGCGAAGTGACTTGGCAGAGCAGCTTGCAAGCCAGTCAGACTCGCCGCCGGAAAAGTAAGTTCCCTTCTCGTTCTCGCTTTGCAAATTGAAAATTGTCCTACTCGAGGCTTACACTACACAATTAAATCTGATTTACTTGTTTTTAACTCGGCCAAAAACTCCATGTCAGCCACGCATTTGAAAATTTCTTTAAAGATCTTTTTAATTAAAGCTCACAAAAAAAAGAGAAAATTGGGTATAACAAAATGTTTTAGTTTCTTACACAAATTGCACTTAAATAATTTTCTTTTTGTATGAATGATAATGCTTTTATTAGTGATATAAAAAATGAATCAGCCGTTTTAATAATGTCTTATTTGTCCTGATTTTAAGATTGAAAATAGCTTAAGATAATTTCATTTCAAACATGGACAAGGGACAAAAATCCTGAAAAACTTTTGCTGAGCTCAAAAATATTCAGGACATTTTTCTTTATGCTCAAAAAAGGGTCTTCATTGTTGCTCATTATTATTCGCGAAGGTTTTTAATTCAGCCCGTGAAATTGGACGCCGTTGATGAGTCGTGGAGCTAATTATTTAGCCTGCAGCCGGAGAGCAGCAACACGCGCCGGATTCTTTTAATTAGCCGCTCCAAACAACGGCGACAATAACCTGCAGCAGGACAGCATCTGAAACTTATTTTTTATGCTGCCGCGCGCGATTATATAATAATGTGTAGCGCGCCAACTAATCCGGCATAATGTGCTTTGAGAGCGAGAGAAGAGGAAGACGCTTTGAGGTTATTCTTTCAAAAAGCACACGCCTCATTAAAACTAGATTTTGTCATTTAAAGCGCGAAAAAAGGAAAAGTTTTCCGACGTGCGCAGCGGGGTTGAGATTTGCTCCGGGAAACTGAAATATGAAAAAGTTCTCAGAGGTGCCTATTGTTCATTAATGAGATGGGGTGGCAGAAAAAAAGGGTCTTGATTTGCATGAGGAGAGAATGTTATGAAAGATTTTAATTTTATTTAAAGAGATTATTATGGAACGAAAGAAATTAATTTAATCATTTAAAATACAAAAATACATTTTTTGTCAGATATAATTATTTTTAAAGTCGATTCGATTTTTCACCTTTATTATATATATATTTTTTTTACAATATGCAGGTTGCATGATCTTCTAACTGAATTCCAGAAGTGCGCTAGAAAGGACTGAAATTTGATTTTTTTAATTTAACGAATAATCTATTCCACTGCATTTGACTTTGTCTTCAGTTGAAAAATTTTGTGCGGGAAAATAAATTAAAATTTGGTATATTTTTAAGTTAAAAAACTAGAAATAGAATTAAATATTCTAAAACCACAGGAAAATTTTTCAAATTCCTATGATAGCTCTTATTTTGCAAAGAGCGATTTCAATTCCCAAAATAATGCTGGAACAACTACTCTAAATTTTATGAAATAACTTTTAAGTCCCTTTTGAATGCAAATTGAGATTAAAAATTGAACGAGTTTGAAATGAAAAAAAGTGTGACTTTTGGCACTAATTAAGAGACGAATCGCGGCGAGCGATAAGAAGGTCGTAGGCGTGAGAGCGAGGGAATTCCGGCGGGCCGCCGGCGCATCGGCGGTGGAGAACGAAGGAAGCGGCGTGAATTATGCAACGCCCGAGGCGTGTGTTCATATTTCACCTGGCGGTGTTGAATTTTTAATCACAATATTTCCACACCTCGTGTGTCGTTGGCATGCATAATGTGCGGCGGGCAAATTCACTTTTGCCCTAGCTGTCCTCGCCGTGAATATTTCACCAGCCAAAACACCCCCGACCGCGACGGCGCCCCCACCCACCCTTGCATTTTTAATACGCGCAGACTTTTGTCACTGGTACTCGGTCAAGGAGCTGCAAAAGTACAACATGACTGATTTTTACCCCGTGAATTATTGAGATTAACGCGAGCGGCCTCTTTGCGGAAAAAATGTATATAGAAAAAAACGCAGGCGAGAAAGTAAGAGAGAGAAAGGGATGGTGAGGGTGGTTCGCCCCTCGAGGGGCTCTCTGTCGAGAGCATCTTGTAAAGAGGCCGGCAAAACCTGTTAAGCTGACTTCAAGCCCTATCAAATGTTCCGTTGAGAGCCGCTCGCTCGCTAGCTCGCAGAGATATCGATGGCTTGAGAGAGAAAGCAGAGCCCAAGCATCGCCGCTGGTAGCCCCGATTCCGCTACTCTATTCATTTGACAAAAGGATTTTATTGTGTTATCTGCCTCCGCTCTCGCTTCAAACTGGCTGAATAAATTGCTCTTTCTTGCGTGTGTCCAGCACTAATGCTGTCAATCAATTTTTAATGGTCGTTTTTTTGTAAAAAAAAAAATAATGAAAAAAACCTAAAATAATATTATGCAAAATTAAATATATTTCGACAAATTATAAAATGTTAATTCAAATTTAAAAAAAATTATTTGTCATTTTTTTTATTTTAAATTTTCAGCAAATTTTTAAGAGCCTCACTCTCTGTTATATTAAAGACAAAATGAGTATAATTAAAATTTTATGCATAATATTTTGCTGTAATGGGCTATGATTCACCAAAAATTATAATAAATAATGAGCAAAAAAAAAATGTCTGTATCTTTATGCTGTATCACACGAAGAGAAACCCTGCTCTTTAAATATTTCTTTTACATTCCCATGAAGCCATGAATTTCAATATTTTATTTACAATACAATAATCCACCATGTTGTTTTGAAATCTTACACCTTACTCTAATTAAAAGTTAATTCTTCCAGTAAATTTGCCTGTTTTATGGAATGTTTCTGTTTAATTGGTTTTAAAATACATAAAATTAACAATTTCTCGAAATTTTAATTGAACAGGAAATCAAATAATTGTAGGAAGTTGTTAAGAGGTTCTCTTTTTTATTTTAAACTTCATAATGTAAAAAATTGAGTTGGAATTCTTATTTTAGCATCAATAACGCATTGAGGAAGTTGCACGAAAAAATCGCGAATGCCAACGGCGTCTTCTGACAATGGTGCGAAAAACGGAACACGCCCGGCAGAGATAAAATATATATACGCGAAGGAATAAAACGGGGTGACACGCGAGCCAGATTAATTGTCAGGTGAGGTTAAAAATGGAGCTTGCTGGTGGTGCGCCGGGCGCGGTGACAAAAGGGAAATCGTCAAAGTGCAATCAGCCGCGCATTACTCGGCTCGCTACGCCCCCAGTTGTAAATCACGGCCGCTGCCTCACGCGATAAGGCCTGCTGCTTTGCTCTTGACACATCCCCAGATAGGCCGCCGCCGCCGACGACTCTCGTTTTCCGCCAAAGATCTGTCTCGCTGAGCTTTTTGCCCGCAAAAAGGCAATTAGTCGTACGCCGAGGGCAAAAAATGGGCCATCCGACCCAGCCGGACACTGACGAATCAACCCCTCGAGCCACTTCTAACTAATTGGGGGGTTTATGCGCGCGAAAAACACGACGTACTCTTGTGTGGGCAATCACTATGTAAACAACCCTTTCTGGTGTCATATGCTCCTTTTTGGCTTCACTCCAAATGTTTATAGACAAACAAATGTTCTACGCATTATCAAATTTGAATTAAAGACTTTCACCAAAAGAGACTTATCGTTGCTTGGCTAACAATAAGATAAATTTTACTTAAAAACTTAAAAAAGATTTAAATATCTTAAGTATTAATTTTGCAATTCTGTTGCAAATATAAATTTTTAATGCTCCTTTGTTAGCACGAAAATATGATTAAAATTAATCATTAAGTAATTTTACTTTAGTGTAAAAAATTGCTATTTTTTCATAATTACAAAAATTTTTAACCCATTATTCAGATGCAATTGAAGTTTCTTTCTTTTTGACAGATGCATGAATTAAAAGAAAGGCGAAAAAAATTGAAAACAGTTTTTCAAAATATATACCTGATATTTACAATAGGAAAGCCATGTTAATGAAACAATATAAATATTAAAAGCTAAAAAATCTTCCTTTTTGAAAATCCAATATATTTATAACGATTCCGTAGGGTGGATGGCGCTGGAATATTTTCCTAATTGATCGTGCCGATGCTTTTAAACAAGTGTTCCAAGGCACTTACAAACGTATCCCGTCGGCAAACACGAGATCATTCTCTGATTGGGGCGGCGCGGAGAAAAATGTTTAAGGAGCGAGGGGACCGCGCGCTGGTAATGGAACGGGCGGATTTGCCAGAGAAAACGCATTTTGCGGAGAGGGCTGAAAGAAAAGAAAGGAAGAAGCCGATCGCAAACACACAGACAGCTCCAGTGGAGGAGAAAACACGCTGGCGAAATGAAAGTAAAATATTGAAAACTGCCGCTGGTAAAACTTCCATTTATTGCGAGCGTTTACATAAAAACAAGCGGTTCGTCGTGTTAGTTTTCACATAACGTGTATCTTATTAGAGAAATGGAAATATTTATAGGTTTATCAGTAAAAAAGAAGAGTTAAGCACCATCTTTTTTTAATACATTTCAAAATTAATTTTCAGTAGAAAGACAGTCCTCATCTAACTAAAACATCAACAAACTAAACTCTATAATATGTATATCCAGCTTTCAAAGATTAACAAATTAAAGAAATAAATTGATGAAATTCTATTATTTTTACAAATTTATGATTTTGATAATATAACGATATGTTAATAATAAATTCAGTCTATATTCATACACACTAGACTTAAATAAATTGATCAAAAATAAAAACTTTGTTTCCTCACTTGAAATAAAAAAATCCAGACTTAAAACACTTCAGAACTTGCACTTCTTTCAGCCGTTCACATAAGAGGCATCTTTTGCATTTGATATAATAATTGACGGAAGAGGTCTTTGTTTGTAAGCTGCAGAAATTTAGCGACAAACGTCGCTGTCGGCGGCACACGCGACGTCCGGTTGCGCGAGGAAAACGCGTCCGTTCGCGCACGCACACAACTGGTAGACGTCCTGAGTGGCGCGACTGCTCTGTCCGCTGCCCCTGCTCGCCTCCCGAAGCCCTGGCATAAACACGTTGGCCGCCTCCAGACGCACCTGCGTTAAAAAAGATACCCAATATGCAATTTTTTTCTTAATAGAAATTATTCATAAAACGATGGCTTCCGTTAGGAAAACAATGTTTTTATTTATTGAATTATAAATTGTTGAAGGAATTTATTGATAGAAAAATGTATTTTGAGTAATTTTTATTTTTCCAAAGATTTCAAACCCTTTAAATATTTATAGGAAAGTTAGAAAACTCACCGTGCCTGCAACGGACTGGAGTTTCATGTCCGACAAGCAATTTGCACTGATTTCACCTGCACGGGCTTCAATTGAGACACCCTGAGGTGCTTTCACGTGAAGCGACCTTGTTGGAGATTCCAACCTGAGAATTCATTGACAACAATTGCAAGTTACGAGGATACGAATTTTAAAAAATGTGAACAAAATGTTATTTGGTGTGTGGCCTAAAATTTTCTAGCAATATTCGAAAGCTTACAAATGACATGTTTTTGGACACATGTGTATATTTTTTTAACAAACATTCTATAATAAATTCAAATTAATTCTAAATACTCACTTCAATTCGTAACCAGAGTCGGCCCGAACCATGGGCGTCTGGACACTTCCGTCGAAAACCGCCCCTCCGGTGACTCGCAGGGTTTCTGCCCTAATTTCAACCTCCCCTCTCGTCGCTGAAAAAAGCACCTCTCCTTTGGGGTCGGTGACTCGGAATCCCCGCGCCAGACACTCAAACTGGTCGCTTCCTTTTAAAATAATTCCCAGTCACGGTTAAATATCAAGTTTATTCTAAAAAAATATAACTGACCTAGTATAAGTCTGCTGACCGTGCGACCCAAGTGGTCCCTGGCGTTGACCGAGAAGTTGTGCGATGAGTCTATGCTTATGGGTGTCCCGGGACGTGAACGAATTGTTGACGCTATCAAAGAGTCCAGCACCATCGCACGTCCTTGCAGCTGAAGACCGTCATCGACCACTTTTAATCTGCCCATGCCTTCCTGCGAATTAAAAAGGGAAAAAAATTGCGATTTCACGAACTTACTCACTTTAATTTGGAATTAAATTAAATTTAAAAGCACAAAGATGGTTCAAATCGGTTGAGAAACAAAAATCATTAAATTTTGCCGGTTTGATTTCCTTGTTATAATATCATTTCTTAGTCAGTTTTCAGGAATATAAGAAACAAAATTGAACACATTAGATTTATATTTCAGTTGTTCTTGCAAACACATGTACTATATGTTTTCGGAATATTTAAAAACCTTAAACTGGCTTACAACAAAGCATAACTTTGGAACTTCAACAACAGTGAATGAAATAAACCTAATTTCAAAGCAAAAGTTTTGAAGTTCAATTATTTTTTCTAAATTTAAAAATATCGTAGAACTTTTTTTTTTGTAACATGTATCATTATCTGTATTAGGTCATTATTTAATTTATTTTAAATATTCACTACAATAATAACAAAAGGCATAAATAACTTGCATTTTTCACGCTAAATACCAATAGCTATAAAATTTAAAACATCTGATGTATTTTTTGGTAAACTAAACAATGATTTGAATTTTATTTTGTTAGAAGTTTTGTTTCTTTTGGAAAAATTGCTTATAAAAAAGCTCAAAATATACATATTTTTTGGGATTATATAGCTTGATGAAGCTGGTTGCTGATTGTTTGAATTATAATTGGCAATAAAAAAGAATGCAGCACAAGAAGTCTCGCTCCGTCACGGTGACAAATAAGCAAAGTTGTGCACCTTTGAATGGGACGCGCGGCGAGACGCTGTGCTGATTATTGTGTTATTGTTTCTGCGAGGTCATTTGCATGTTTCTTTGGCGTGCGCGCACGACGGTGGCCGGCAGGCAGGAAGGCTTTGTTATTCTGATTCGGCATTAATTAATCGGAAACAAGGAGAAGTTGGCCCGGCACGGCGACAACTGTGCTAATGAAATAATCCTGGCTGGCTGTGCGCCGGCTAATTTGATTACCAGGGTTTGAGAGCAGAGAAACTCTTCCACTCTCTGCTTTAGCTCTCTACAAATTTCAGGACTTACCGACGAGAACTGCATGACTTTGAGCAGCCACAGGGTGAGCGACAGATTGACGATCACCACCGCCACCAGCACCACGATCAACAAGTAGAGGCACCGCTTCCGCCACCCATAGATGCCCACCGGGCCCCCTGGGCTTCTTGCGTCCTCACTGAAATGGAAAATCACAAAACAATCTGATGCGAGTCTCCCAGCTGCACAATTATTTACAAATGAATATGTAAAAACAACAATAACTCTATTAGAAGGTAAAACATGGATTGTTATATTAATTAACTTTCTTATTTTTTTTTTTTTTTATCAAGATTTTGATAAATTTGATTTTGTGAAGAAAACAAATTTTTGATTCCCACCAATTTATTTTCTTCTTGGTTTTTATTTAGGAGTTTTTTTTTATCAAAGTTTTTACTGATCATAAAATAATTATGAGAATTCTTTTATTAAAATAATTCAATTGTTAAAGCACAAAGCTCTGACCAAGTGCCATCTGAGAGCAATCCAAAAGCTAAAGTTACCTGGGCCAGTTTTCGGATGGTCCTTGTTTATTTTTTAATTATCCAGTAATTTCTACAAAGCAATACTAGAACGGTATGAATAGTTTTATGTTTTTAATTCATAAGCATGATTTGAAACTTATTAAAATTAAATTCCTTAGCAAAAATTTGATTTGTTTTTAATTTTATTGTTGTTTTAATTACTCTTATAGCTCTATGTATTACAATACCTTAACCACCGATATATAGATCAAAATTATTAAAGTATGTACAAAAATTGGTAAAAAAGCATAAAACTTCAATAAAAAAAATTAATAAATTGTAAAAATATAAAATCATAAAGATAACAATATTAGAAAAATCTATAGATAATGTTTTAAATGTAATATTTACACATTGTGAACATAAAATTTTTGGTCGAAAATTGAACACGTTATAAAGATGGTGGAAAATAAGGTGCACAAGCAATTTCTACTGAAAAGACCGATTCTAAATCCGACGCAAACGAAGAGAATAGAGGATTTGAAAAATTTAGTTGAGAGACGATTTCTATCACGGGTTTCCGTGTGTCTTAAGAGGTTTTGCAAGTTTAATTGAAAAAAGTTAGGTCCGCGTGTCGTCGAGAGAGAGAAAAAGGGAAACGCGTTGTTTTCCCGGGCGGCGCGCGCGTTAAGCCTAATTTTAAACGGTCTCGGCCCGAAATGCGCAATTTCACGTGCTGGCGGCAAAAAGAGGAAAAGGCCGTCAAGTGTGAAAAGACAACACAAAAGTCCTCGGGGCGTCGAGAGGGTACAGAGATAAAAAGTTAATTAGCAAGAACGGCGTAATCCCGGCCGGGCCGCGCGCCGAGATTATCAATTAGGGGCCCGCGCCGGTTAAAAATTCATTTCGGGCCTTTTATTTGGGCCCGCAATCATCGCCGGCGCCGACACGCCTGCAGCCAAAGTGTTCCAGGGGATTACACCGTTGCGGCTGTTATCTTCAGACGTGCAGACACGTTCTTTTATTGGGCCGGCTTAAGGGTGGGTGGGTGAGTGCGTGACCTCGGCACACCTGCCCTCCTCACTTTTCCACTCTGCAGCCTTTTAATTCGCGCAAAACTCGCGCAACAATCGTTTTGTTTATTGCGTGACCGGTTTTACAGTGACAGTGGGACGCAGGTGCTTAATGACTCGCACACGCAGATTAGCTAAACGCATATTTATTGTCCGTCAACTTTCGCCCTTTCTCTAAATATATCTCTCTCATACAATATGCCCGATGTACAGAACAATTAAATTCCAGATTTTTATGGCTTGTTGACTTTGCACGCTTTTAACGACGGCGGAGAGCGTTTATGGTTGTGAATGAACGATTCAAACGTCAACGAGTTGTAAAACACGCGAACGTTTTAATTTGAAATTACGACCGTCACACTAACAACGGGTCCTCTCACTTTCCAAATATATTCATTTGGGACATTTTGTCGTTAAAAAAGCACGCTGAAATAAGTATTTTTATTTCAGAAGGTAAACATTACACAAAAAATTGGTATACATTTAATGTTTTTAATTAAATCTAAAATTAAAAAAAAAATCAATAAAGATGTGCACGCTCTATAACCAAAATATTAAATATTCAGCTGAAATAATTGTAAACACCTTGACAGTTCAATGTTAATCAGACATTCGAGATTTTCTTTCTAAATATAGATAAATGTTAATCGCATCTAATATAAAAATGTTATGGGCATGGGCAAATATTAAACATAAATAAATTAAAATTTTCAATATAAATTTAAAATTTTTAATACAATAAAATGAATAATATTAAACTTATTGAATCATTTACTGAGTTAACAAAAACACATTTTAACCATTTTCTTTTTTTAATAAGATACCATTGTTTTATTCTTCATTCATGGTTATGTGACTGAACATGAAAAGCAAGAAGCATAGCACGCGTCTAAACTTCCATTATTTTTCTACCGTCTCATTTCTCGATATGTGTGGCTGCTCTCGATCGTTGCAGCACAATATCACAAAAAACCAATACCATTTTATGCATTTTCCAAGAGCGGAGAACGAACGGACTCGTCAGGTCAAAAGAAAACTCTGTTGGTGCCGCGCGCACACATGAAATCCATCCGCCGGTCGCCGCACACGTTCTATACAGGTCACGTAATTAATTGTATTTGAGAGCAAAATATCGCTACATGAAACGTGCCGGTTGCATTACAAAAAGTAGTTGAATGCATCCGTGGAAATATAGAGGATTTGCTCGGAATGCAGCCCGCTCGGCCGGAATGACTGGCAGGTTGCATATCACCGAATCGACAGGCTGAATGCACATTAAATTATCTCGCACTGTTTGCTCGTCGCGCGCGCGTCTCTCGATGAATTTATCACCAAGTGCAAACGATAAATTACTCGACGTGCACCTGATTTTTCAGCAGCTGTTTTCAGTAAAAATTGGAACAGGACAACTCTAGTGGAAAGTCAAACAAAAGTGAATTCAAATCAAGCTAAATATAGTCATTTTTGTTTCCATAGATATAAAGATTATTAAAAATTCCTTTCTTTTGATATTATTTATTTAAATTAGAGATTTTACTAGGAAATTGTTAAACTATGAATTATTCAATTTTTATTTTACTTTATACAATATGAGGTTCTAATACAATGTTTAATCTAAAAAAATGTATAATTTTATAAGAATTATTTAAATTTTTTTTTCATATGTTCTATAAAATTGTCATAATAACTTAAATCAAGTAACGTACGTAAAATCTAATTATTTATATCTTTGTGTTACTGAACCGTTTGTTAGATTTTTATCTCTGTATGTTAAATTTGGTCCAATTTAAAAAAAGCAAGCAACGTTTACGCGCGGTTATTAGCGCGAGAGCGGTGGACGATTGCGGAATGAGTTAGTGTCTGGCGTTTGGCTGCGATCTTTGGGGTCGGTTGCAGCGATTTGGCCTTTATTGGAGCGGCCGGGGGCGGCGATAAAACAAACGCCGCGCTGCTAAAAATCGTGTTCCTTCTTGGAGCGGCTCCAAAACGGCTCGACAGACAGGCAGACAGACAAACCGCCCAATCGTGTGTCTGCGTGTCGTCTGCGAACGCGGCACCAGATTATGAAACTTGCGTTAATTACTCAAGAGCAAGAGAAATTAACATTAACTCAATTCCCACTACCATTTTAATTAAGGAAAAAACTTTTTTTTTAATATCTTGGCAATATTGCCTGTATTTAATTTTCAATAAAATTCAACATTTTAGTTCTGGGTGAATTTGATAACCAATTTTTGAAATGTTTTGCAAAATGTTAATCCTGTTCCAAGAGTAATTTATTTTACCTTTTTTCTTTTTTTTCTAATTTTTTACCATAACTGAAATTAAATTCAGATATTGCCATAAAGAGAAAGGTTTTTGGCTTTTAAACATGATTTAACGTGAGCTGAACTCGCACCTAAAGGGTTATTTTTGGACCTACTGACCGCAGAACGACAAACACCAATAAAACAAAAACCATGTTTTCAATACGCAACATTGTATTGCGTCCGGCCGGTTGACAAACCATTCGAGGGCCGTCGGGTCCCGGGCGTGCATTCAAAATTACACCCCTCCTGCGAGTGCATTATCGGTGCCAACTGCTGCTGTCGTCTCGGTGACGGTGAATGATAATAATAATTTCGTTTCCGTCTCGCGTGACTCCGTGTTGGGTAGGTTGACTCGGGTGTGCGCGCCGTGCGACGTCTCACTTTTGTTTGTGCGTTGCCGTGAAAAATGATGATTGTCAGCAGCCGACGAGAGGCGTAATTGAAAAAAGCCGCAGGGATCCCCTTCGCTCCATATTGCTGCCGCCGGCGGTCGCATAAATTTCAACCCGAATCGCGAATGCAAAGTGTATTTCAAAGGCATGCCCTGAATTTATATTTATGAGGAGTCAAATAAATTCATGTTTAATTAATTTGTAGTCGGCGTATTTCTGGATTTAAATCATATTCGAAACTTTTTCTCTTTGACCATTCTTGACTCATCTCAAGAAATACGAATTTTAATTGCAAAAATTTGTGCTTTATAAATGTGTGCTTTTTTTTGGAAATACACAAATTTAGATCTAAATTAATTTGAGGTATCTGTCTATAGATATCTCTAATTTACACGAAATTATTAACTAGCTCGCTTTTTCCGTCTTGTGTAGCATTGCTTATCTTTTTTTTAATCAGGTTCCGATTTTGTTACGTCTATCGTCCATAATTAGGAAATTAAATTATTTATTCCTCAATAGTTTTCCAGATTCTCAAACCCAAACGTAATTTTATTATTAATTTTTACTAATAAAATAATTTAGTATTTGACAGAGACATAAAAATTTAAGAAACTTTTTTGTAGTTATGTGGTAGGTACAACTTTTTATTTAATTTTTTAATGTACCTTGAAATTTTCTATTAACGAAATTGTGATGTTGATGTTCTATGGTATTTGGTCACAAACATAGGAAAATCTCGAAAATCTTACGATCAGTAATTACTATTATCTATTAATAGAAAAATTCTTTACAACAGCTGGGCTATTTCAAACCAATTTTAAATAGAAAATTACTTGGGAAAAAAAGTATCTTCAAATATTTGGTCAAGTTCATTATTATTATTTTTTAGGATACAAACCAA